CTTATAATGAACCTCTTACCAAATTTTCAAGCATTTCTGTTAAGTCTAATAATTTATCTACAGAGTATCTATCAAATAAAAATTATATAAAAAACTCGCAAAAGTTAAAATGTTAATAAATACCTAAATAATTGCTCAAATGTTTTGATAGTTTTATCACGTTTAGAAAAATTAAATATAAGTTTTCTGTTAACATTTTAGGTCTCTACGAATATTTTAACTTGAATTACAACAAAAAAATAAAACTGAAAATAATAAAAGCATTATTTTCGTAAATTTTTCAATACTTTCTGCATTTTTTTTCTTGCTAAAAGAATAAAAAAAAATTACGAAAAAATCAAAAAAAGACACAAACTAGATAAAAAATTCAACAAAAGAGGTCTCTAGATGTTTTTCTATTGGAGCAATATTTATGGTATAAAACATAAGCCGTAAATTTTTCAGTTTTCATATTTCATTTTTTTTTCAGTTTTTTCCTAATTATTATAAAAACTACAGATAAAATCAAAAGACGAATAACCTCGACGCATGAACTCAATTAAAAATGCAATAAAAAATGTCTCCTCTTTTTGTTATCTATTGAAGTAATTAAGTTATTTGGCTCGATTCTAACTTCACCAACGTTTTTAAATCGGCAATATACATATGTTCAAACCAAAACAAATTAAATGATTTGCATGAACCAATAACTAGAGTTGTTCTACGTAATTTCTTACTCAATCGATTTTCATCGAAATTTAATATTAAAATTCTTTTATAAAAAAAAATAAATATTAATGTAGTAATACGAAAACTACTTTTGTTATCGCGAAACAACTGACACTGTCAGTAGCGAAATATTATTAGAAACGAAATCGATATCTTGTTATTTTTCGATTGAAGTAATATTTCTGGTAGTAATATTTCTGGTAAACTTAAGTTCACCACAATGAAAATAGTAACCCCGCGGCATGCCGTAAATATTTTGCTATTTAACCTATAATTGTCTTTCGGTTTTTTTCTCAATTATTTTAAAAGCCCCTTGGAAAATCGAAAAATTACCTTCTTAATGCATCAATGAGACAAAATTACCTTTCAGAAAAGGTGCTATAATCAATGCTTTGGAGCCAGTTTTCTGGTAGAAAAGTTGTTCACAAACACAAAAAAAAAGTACAAAAACACACATCGTAGTATAACCAATAGATCCCTTGCTACGCTCCAAATCTACTATAAGGGATTTATTATATATATTATAGGAGGGGTTTCCAACCTACGGCCACTGGTTCCGGCTAGTTAAGGTTTTCAAACCAGCCTGCCAAGTTTACTGGAGGTTTTGACAATATTAATTATTTATCAATAGTGTAACGATAATTTAGTATTTTAGAAGGTAAAATATAGAGAGGAACATAATGTTTACGATTAATCATTGCTAACGAAAACTGATTCTGAGCGGAGTTCTGTTATACTTGTTTAAAATGCCGTAATATTTACGATATTCGTCAAAATTTGATATTAAAAAAAAATATTACATCAAACTCAACTTCTTCTTGTTGACCACTAAGTACAACTTATAATGAATCCCCAGTTAAGTTGTCAAGCATTTATTTTAGGTCTAACAATTTTATCCACAGGATATCTACCGAATAAATATAACGTAAAAAACTTGCAAAATTAAAATCTCTAATTGCTTAAAAATGATTCAAATGTTTTGCACATTGTACCGCATCTATAAAAGGCAAATATGAGATTTTTGTCGAAATTTCAAGTCTCTAAGAATATTTTTCACAGAATGTTTTCCCCAATTATTATGAAAACCACTTAGAAAATCAAAAGTAAACCTCCCTAAAGTACGTTGCAGATAAAATTTCCTTTCATTAAAAGAGCTACACTTCATAAATTAGAGCGAGATTTCTGGTAGAAAAGTTTGCACAACAAATCGATAAGTATTTTTCTATTCAAATAATTCGAGTGAACGACTGCTTGGGTATCTAGGTACACTCAAAATGCATTTGTTTTCCCTGTTACCTACCTGACGTGGTTTTGCAGAAAACATTTTTTGGAATCCGGGTTTGAACCGCAAGTCTTATCCCTGGGATGGCAACAAGTACGTAACAGATACTAGACTAACGACGGACATATTATAAAATTGTCAGTTCATTCAATTCTAAATAGAAAAACCGTAAGAAAAACGGGAAAATAGATACAATAATAAACCAATATTATTAAAGATTATACATAATGCATATGTAATTATTTTAACATAATATGACACATAAATTATTGACAAAGCAACATGAACCAAAGCAACCAAACTCCGCTCAGAATCATTTTACGTTAGAAATGGTTTGCAGATATACATTAAATATTCCCTCTATCTTCTCAACTTCTGACCTACAACAGTGGCCCACCCACGTGCGAAGTATGTCAGTCTTTTTTTTTAAATCAATAGATTAGTATTGAATATTTGTGTGTGTCAATATTCATGCATTTAGAACTTTTTCTGGTATGATTATTCTCTAAGAATTTTCACCGCCATTACTACACTTCACCTGTTTCTATCCTGGACTACTCAACAATTAGAGTTTTCAGATCTTCCATTACTATGTCAATTAATCTTTTCCTAGGTCTATTTTATTGTGGTTTCCATTCCAATGCTATTCTGGCAGCTTCGGACTCTCCTCTTCTTATTATGGGACCTAACTACTGTATACTCTGACCCTTAACATAGCTTGTTACTAGTGCTAATTCCAAAATATATAAATATCGTACAGCTTTTGTTATACCTCTTTCACCAGATCCTTGTTGTTTCATCAATGATAGATCTACATATTTTCCTCCACACGTTTTCAAAGCATTTAGAATTACCCTTCATAAAGCGGCACTAATTTTAAGAAACTTTAAATTTTCAAATCCTTCCCTTTATTTCATTACGTACTATGTAACCTTCCTTAGTACTAAATTATACGTTTTTACCTATACAAGAAGTGCCTAATAATTTTGTTTTTGGGGTACTTAATTAATCAGTATTGTCAAAAATGCAAATTTAGAAATATTTCCTTTTTGAAAAGGCTTAATATTAGGAGCTAACTAACCTAAGCTTAATTTATGTATCAAATTTAAAAAAATGTGGTTTAATTAATTCATGTAAAGATACACTGGCATACTTGGAACTACTGTGCGCTCAGATTATAGTTAATTTATTAAAATACGTTTAGAAACTGGAAACTTTGTACTCTCGTAGAATGGATTTTTCGAACTTTTTTTATTTTGGAGAAGTATTGTGAAAACAGATTCCTCACAACTCTTGGTTCAAATACAAAAAATACCTTTTTTTCTTATGATTTGGCCAAAATATATAATTTTTAAATGAAAAATCACAATTACTATATTTTTAAATCAACGGGTAGGGTAGATATAACCCCTAACCTTCCCTTGGAAACTTTACCTAACTGTCCAGGGGTTCCCCTTACAGCTACGCCTCTGATTATGATAGTATATATTATGAAATATATTAGAAATTTGAATAGTTATCATATTACATTAAATATTAAAATATTATTATAAAATAGATATATTATAGTGCACCGACCAGGACACCCGGACAAACGAAAAAGATAAGAAACGATTCAGATGTCTTGAAATAGTGTATCGCGATGACGATAAAAAAAAACGAAAAACAGCTAAAATTATATAATTCATTTAAATAATATAAGAAACTGGTCTGGGGAGACTGTGTGTATGTACTGTATAGAGCAGTCCCCTCTCTTCATAAAACACATACATGACGTCAATAGTTACTGCTGCCGGTGCTGCAAACGATAGAAAGGACAGAAGTATAAAAAAATAAAACGATTTGAAAAAATAATAATAATAATAAAGCCCACCGCCGACGCTCGTGATGGGCCAAAACACAAGTAAGTAAAACAACATTTCCGTACACGCGGTCGGTGTGACGACGCCTAACGGCGGCGAGTCGTTCTTCGCGTATAATATACTACGTTGTTGCCGGCGGCGCGGTGCGGTGGTCGGTAGACCGTCATCAAGCGATGGCGGTCGGTGGACGACGGGGTTAACTATAAAACGCATCGCAACTGCCGGCAGCAGCGGTAGTGTCGTGCGCCGGTTACAACAACAACAATAACAACAATAAGGCTGAACGCAGTAGCTGAAGCGTTTGGTGTGTGTAAGAGAGAGAAGGAGCGACCGAGCAGCAGCCGATCACTGCGAAGCCGGTCGACACTCGACCGTTCGGCAGTCAGTTCATAGTCGTGTCTGAGTTTGTTTGCTGTTGCGCACGTTGTGTGGTATTCGTTTGTATATGTGTGTGTGTTGGCGTCGCGGTGCCCTCGCGTTCCCGTCGTGGCTATATCCGTATGTGATGGTGTGCAGCAGCAGCAGAACAGTATTAGAAGTAGTACCAGTTGTACAATAATAACAAAAATAATATAACCTACAGGACCAGTTTTTTCGTAGTGCACATTTTAAAAATCTTCCAAGTCCGAGTACCTACCTAATACCTTATAATACCGTTCGTAGTGAAGAAACAAAAGAAGTGCGACTTTGTAACAACGCTCCCGGGATATAATATCATTTGTCATCAAAAAGTTTACACGTCGTCGTGTGTGTATCAGCTGTGTCGTAAAATTATCTCAACGACATCGACACCCGGTTTTTGAAAAAAAACTTCGTTTTTCGATATATTCTCCAACTCTACCGTATCTATAGAAATATCGACAAAACCCGCAGATAAGAAATAAAAGAAAAAAATAATAGATATAATCATATATTTAGTCATATTTGGCGGGGAAGTATAATATATACCCAAGTACATTTATACTCTCGCCGACGGATATTTAAGTGCTGTGATATTGTTTTAAGTTTAAATTAAATATTTATTCGTTATTAAATTATTACGTGACTGTCATCGTCGTTAAGTTGTAAAGTACACATACCAATTATTTACCTATTCACGAAAGTATTATCTACTGATTTACTAGTAAACGTACATAACTAGCAGCAATATGGTCGAGAGCATCATTGAAGAAACCCCCGGGCAGACTGAGAGCACCCAAAGTAAATATTAACAAAACATTTTTATAATTATTATATGAATTCCTTTCTATATATACAGTAGATCTAACATACCCGTATATATATTTTTTTTTTTTATACAGATAACCCGGTAGAAATCAAATCTGAATCATTGTCGTTGAGAAAGGAAGAGGCTCGCATCAAGCGCAAGAAGAAGAAGATCACCAACAGTCTAGTAACATCTTGCTTCCAGGGTATGCATTAATATTTTGATGTGATATAATTTGTTTATAATAACAAATTACTATAACTAGATTAGTTTAAGATAGTTAAAATAAATTGTTACTTGAAAACCCAATTTTCTGTCATTTTCTCTTATCAGTTTATATTTTCTTTTATTTATTGGTTAATAAAACCGACTACATTTGCCAACATTATATATATATATATATGATAACCCAGCCAAACAGTTAAATGTGAACAACAGTAATTTGTTTGAGTGGTATTTCCTACAGTTTAATGTTTAATTTTCCATTCCGTTTGTTGACATCTGGTTAATTCAACATTTTACTTCAATAAATATTTTTGATTAAAATATCTAAACCAAACTAAACATTGATAATTTAAAATACTCTTTACTCAAGGTTAAAATGTCATTTGAAATGTAATCTTATCTTATCATTTTGTTATTGAATAGTTTATCTAAATTTAAGTAAACTATTAATTTATTTATTAATACATTTTTACTATACTTTAATATAATGTAAGTCATTTTGATTTGTAGTTTTTTTTTTTATTAAATTTTAAATTTATAAAAAAATTAAAAATGTTTGCTATGAATAGATATATAGTAGATATTAATAGTACCTTTATAATACAAGGCAACACAGGATATTCTAATCATATTAAATATTTTATTTAAGTAACATTAGGTATATGGAAGTATATAATAAGGAATCTGAAAACAAATTACTTATAATAATATTTAAAACCTTAATTAAATCAATAGAACAATATTATGTTAACTATTAACTACTATTACCTATTCATATTTATTACATTATGTGATTGAATGAACATATTTTAATAATTTAAATCAAGTTACTTTTATAATATTTATTTTCAATATTGTATAATATGTTATTTGGGTTTTTTGTTTAAATATAGGTTAGGAAAACCCTATTTATAAATATTAATAACATGTACCCTATGAGCTTTGTTTATTATTACATTAATAAATATTAGTAATGAATTTTATTTGTTTAGATGCATACAAGTTAACTGGTGAAATATTGGGTCAGGGTGCATATGCATCTGTTCAAACATGTATAAGCGTATTAACTGGTTTAGAATTTGCTGTTAAAGTAATTGACAAAATCGCTGAACATGCCCGTGCACGTGTTTTCCGGGAAGTTGAAACATTCTATCATTGTCAGGGTCACCCAAATATCATTCAAATGCTGGAGTTTTTTGAGGCTGATGATAAATTTTACATGGTATTTGAAAAGGTTGTGGGAGGACAATTACTTGATCGAATACAACAACGGAAGCGGTTCACAGAATGTGAAGCTAGCCTTATTATAAAAGATTTGGCTAGTGCACTAAATTTTCTGCATCAAAAAGGTATTATTATTATTTAGGTAATTGTCTATTTTTACTTTATATTTTATGAAAATATAATTTTGTACAGGCATAGCTCATCGCGATTTGAAGCCAGAAAATATTCTCTGTGTAGATCCTGTAGAATTAACTCCTGTTAAGTTATGTGATTTTGACCTTGGATCTGGTATCAAATTAAATCCTGTTGATGGTAGTGCAACACCCCAACTGTTAACTCCAGTTGGGAGTGCCGATTTCATGGCTCCCGAAGTAGTAGATGCATTTGTTGGAAGTCCAGATTCAAATTATCACTTTTATGATAAGCGTTGTGACTTGTGGTCTCTTGGAGTGGTGGCGTACATACTTTTATGTGGATACCCACCATTTTATGGGAATTGCGGTTCCAACTGTGGATGGGAATCTGGAAATGCTTGCCCAGAATGTCAAGTGAGTACTTACACGTATTATAATTTAGATATAATAGTGTAATACACATTTTTGATTTATAATAATTTTTTTGTTTTAGTGTTTGCTTTTTACTAGTATTCACCAAGGTAGGTATGAATTCCCTGAACGCGAATGGGCTGACATTTCAATTGAAGCTAAAGATTTGATCAGCAAATTGCTGGTTAAAGAAGCTAGTGCCCGTCCTAGTGCTGCTGAAGTCCTCAATCATTCATGGGTCAAAAGATTACAACAAGAAAAACCTAAGGATCGCGAATTAAGTACACCATGTGTGATCAGACGTAATAACAGTGCACGTGCCCTTTCTACGTTTGCAGAGTCTGCTATGTCGGCCAATCGAGTGTTCCTGCAGCATTTTAGTTTGTTTTCATCAACTGACGTTCCTCTTGCTGCTGCTAAAAGACTTTCGCCGCCATCGCATTCCATGATTGTACAGCGTAGGTCACTTGGTAAACCTCCATGTTCCAATGAAACTCCCGGTAACCAGGCCCCCGCTCAATTACCAATCATTGCCTCTCCTAGCGGCTAAATTTTAATAGCCCATTATCATACCTCCATTTTTTTTTTTAAATTACTAATTAAAATCATTAGCAAACAAAAATTTGGATAATTAAATATAAATACAGTATATAAATTGACAATTTTTTTTATTTTAACCAATAGTCATGTATTTTTTTTTTTTTTTTAAGACTCCAAATTATGCAATAAATATTATAAGATAATAATTTACTGGTTATGCTATGGAAATACAGACTTATTTTTATACTTTGAAAAAGCTCATAGTCTTCAAATAATAAAAAGATAATAATTACAAATTGTGATAATTTCAATGTTTGGCAACATTAACATGTTTTTTAATATGGTGCCATTAATATGTAAACTTTTGGGTAAGGTCTATGAAATCAATATTGTTTGTTATTTTTTTCCTTATAGAAAACCAACAAGGTACCTATAATAATATATTAAATTGTTCGACATAGTTTTGTTCGCAAAATGTGTGTATGATTACACCAAAACTAATGTCTTATCTACTAGATTATAGCTCATCTGGTGCCATTTGTTTTTTTTTTTGTTAGTAATGGTATAGAGAAAAAAAAAGGCTGTCATGCATAGAGTTTAAGTTACAAACTTTTGTGTATTTTTTTATGAAGAGTATGGAATGTTTTTTTAAGTAAATTATTTATACAAGCAATGCACGTTAAAAACTATTGTTACTGAAAAAAAATTGTTTTTTTAATATTGTGTAATAAAAAATATTTTTGAAAATTATTTCTCATGATCTAAATTGATTTTTTAAAATAATTCATGTGTCTTCATTTATGTTTTTTTTTTTGTGATAAATAATCATGGTATATCTATTAAATAATTTCTAATTGTAAGGTTAGGGAAATTCAGAAAAATTATTATTAAAACTGAAAATGATAATAACTTAATAAGTTTCAAATTTTAAAAAATCAAATTTATTAAAAAACTGCAAATGTAAGAAATGTTTAAAATGATATTATATGGTTTGCATTTCTTACGCTTACGTGGTTGATTTTTTGGAAAAGCTGTCAATTCAATGCTGTTTATTATTTGAATTTTTTGTATTAATAGTAATAAATTAATCATTAACAATATATAAAAAGCAATCATTTACATGCTAAATGAACCCTAAATATTGTTATTTACATAACAATTGTACATAATAGTAAATTTCTATTATCAATTTAAAATTATGAATCATTTTTAATAATTAAAAAAATGTCTTACTAGTAAACTATTTTATTTAAATTGGCAGTCAGTATTGAAAGTAAGTAAAGATAATTACTTTAATTTAACTTTATCAAAAATATTGTATACAATTAACTCTTTAGAATCATTAAGACCTTAATTACACAGTAAATTATCTTTACTAAAATATTCTGTATGATCACTTTGAACTATGTGTATTCAACAAAAAATTATTGCTTACAATATCATTTGAGCAGTTAAGACAAATTAACAATAGATGACTGGGGACATATCGGCCAAAGAAGATTTGATAATCTAATGGCCAAAGTCGTATAACAATGTAAATATTATATTGTTATACATAGTAATTATTACTAATAGTAGACAACTATTTTTTTCTTGATCTAAAAGTCAAATAGCCAAAGTCTATATTATTAAATTCGTCATAATTTCAAATATATAATGAAATTACAAAAAATATTAATTCATTTTGTACTTAGTAGTTACTGAGTACCTATTTATTATTAATATTAAGAATATAATAGTAAGAAATTTTAATCTTAATCAAAAATGATCTTAACTTAGTAATCAACAAGACGTATTTATGGACGTGGCCCCAGGACAAAAAAAAAATCAGGTAAATTTAAGAATAATAAGTACAGAAATTATACACATAATCTTGTTTTTATAAGGAAACATATTAAATTAGCAAAGCTCATCCAATTCTTTTCTGTTTTATACTCTTAGCTTGATTCAGTGGCTTGATAAATAAGTATCATACATAGATTTTCATCCCCCCCGCCCCATTATCTTGTCTTGGAACCGCCCCTGTCAGTAACAATATTAAAAGAATTGATACCGGGAATGTCACTGTTGTAAGTTGGAAATTGGAAGATGTAATACATAAAGTTAATTAATATCTGTAACATGGTCGGACCGTAGTAAAAAATTGGTCTCTGCGATCACTGGTAAAGGCCCAAAAATTACACAAATATCATTATACAGCATATATTTCTCAATAACAATAGCTTAGACAATCATCATCATTTAGATTTTGAATGGAGCGAAGAAAGTTATGGTTTACAAAGATTTTTTTTTTTTTATATGTACTTTTTCATAATGTATATATTGTTAACAAAACATCACTATAAATAAAAAGTCCGCGTAACGAAAACTTGCCGGTGAATGGCGCGACTCTAGCGGCAATTTGCAATCTGTTCGGTGGTCATCATAAATGTAAAACTAATTGCCCTGTTTTTTTTACATTTATTTGTTCACGTGGTATATTATATTAATTTATTATTATACGAATCATGAAAGAAATTGTTTAAAAAATGATCAGTATAAACATTATTTCAATGCATAATATATTATATATAAAATTTATTGATTGTTAATAATAATTGCAATAAATTTATTCAAACACAAGAAAAAATACACAAATATTCACGAAACCGATTTAAAAAACATAATGTACAACACACCGTCTATTACAAATGTCTGTAGCATAATTGACAAAATCAACAGCTATATGCCTATATACACTATACACGTGTTACGATCTGTCCATATAATACAATCCAGTTTTCCAGCTGAAACTGAATACCAGTTTTAGATGGGTACCTAAATTTTAAATTAAATAAAGGACTGCAGGAATCGCATAAAAAATACATGCCGTGTGCCTATTGTGTAAACATCTCAGCGGCGTGGTGTAATTTGAGAACCCGTGGCTAACGGCAGTTACATAGCCGGCGGATGTCGGGTGTTACCGACCGGTTTTCGTTGCGCGGACTATATCAACTGAACTCTGCTCAGAATCGTGTTTAGAAAGCATTCGTTTAATATTGTGTATTAATAGACACCATAGTGATACACGATTACGGTAACCACGATTAACATTACTAATTGCGACCATAAAGTGATAACAAATTAATATTTTAATATTTGATATTCGCAACTCGAGTGTATAATGTACTATGGTTTTTCGGTTATTATTATTTGTCAATTGTTAATTATTGAAGAATAGAAAACATGTTAAAAAGAAAGCGAGAATGCATTTTAGAGTTTTCTGAGGAATAAATTCTATTGGATATTGTTATTGAGCATTTTGGTGTTACTGACGAAGTAAGCATAAAATTAAAAAATGCTGAATGGATAAAAATTACTGAGAAGTTCGAAGCAGTATAGTCTCTATATGCATTAGACTTGGACTGCCACAGCTTGAAAACGCTGTTAGAAAATTTAAAAAGGAAGGCAAAGTTGGATATCGTCTACAAAACACATTTGAAGAACATGTTTATGAGCTCGTTGCATTTTATTACATTAATTAAAACAAAACACTTGAATGAATTATAAAATCGACGAACAACAAATTAAAAAGACAGACATACTTCGCACGCGGATGCAGCCACTGTTGTAGGTGGGAAGGTGGGATACACAAGGGAATTTAAGTATACCTGCAAGCAACGATAAACCATTGCTAACAAAAAAACGATTCTGAGCGGAGTTCAGTTAAAAAAGTGATGCGCTTTTTTAACAATATATATTTCATGTTATAGTAAAATAATTAAATAAGCATTATATATTTTCTTAAATAAAATTTGTTTTATATTGTACTGATTTTCCCGTTTTTCTTGCATTTTCCCGATTTTTCACATTGATTGGGAAAACTCTTGGGAATATCGAAAAATAACCTTCTACTTAAATACCTTCCCAATCAGATTTCCTTTCAAAAAAATTGCTATCTTTTTAAATCTGAACAAAATTGCTGGAAGAAAAGTTGTACACAGAAAAGGAAAGCCATGATATTTCTTTACTAATACCTATATTCCGTTAATTTTCCGTCAGTATATCCCAGTTTTCGCAGATATTATGAAAACCGCTTGAAAAATCAAAAGATAACCTCGCTAAAGTACCATGTAGATAAAATTTTCTCTCAGAAAATAAGCTACGCTTGGTACATCGGTGCGAGATTTTACAATTTTCGTAAAAATTTGATGTTAAAACTTTAAAAAAAAATTATATTTAACTTTATTTTTTTGACCGTTAAGTACTTACGATTTATATTGAACCTTGCGAAATTAAAATGTCTATAAATAGCTCAAAAATGGTTTGAAACGTTTTGAAAATGTTTTGAATATTTTCAAATGAATAATAACAAAAAAACACAATTGAAAATGATAAAAGTATTATTATCGTAGATAATCTCCCTCATTATTATGAAAACAGATTTAAATCTAAAAATGACTTTCCTAGTAGATACTAGATACCTAGCGAGTAGCCAGTAGGTGCCTACAAGTAGTTACAGTCGATACGGTTGGAGTGAGAGTTTTGGTAGACTTATAGTATTGGTAGGCTATAGTTGCTTACAGAAAAAAATGATGATGATGATGATGATATAAATGACGTAATAACCAAAATTCCAACTTTAAAAAAGCGCACTAATCACATAAAAACCAACCAAAGTATATTGTATACACGTGGGAAATATTGTATGGTAGGTGTAATTATACGCGCTGTAAAAATGTTTATTCGTATTTCTGTTAATATTCAGTATTTATATGAGGATGATTATGGTCGCGGAGGGCGCATCAGAGGAGTGTGGGAAACTGAGCCCCACCCACGTTTATGATTTATGTTACGTACGGAGAGGGATGACTCGAGTCACTCTTGAAAAACTCTGGTCATTTGGGCCAATATGATGGTGACTACAATATTACATGTATGGTATACTGCGACGTCTATAATAGCGCACGAAGAAAATCGCTGCCATTTTCATTCGGCAGTTATTACGATTAATAGGTAGACTCACCGGAACAGTTGCCACCGCCGTTCTCCGCCATTGTCGAACAACAATAATAATCGCAAAGGCCACTGGTTCTCTTTTAATATTATGTTACGCGATCGACGCGTTTATCGTATCCGAAAAGAAGAAAAAAACGAACATTTGACGCGGTCAAAAAAAACCAATACATTTCTAATATTATATTGTTACGCGCACAACTTAAACACCGATGGCGTCTTCGCGAACTGAAATCGTGACCTGACGATAACTCACTGTGGATATTGGGATGACGGTAGCGAAAACGGCGCAACGCGGACCAACCGTTGAACGAACGACTGGGTGTCATCGTTGAATAGTTTTGCCCGTGGCAGAAGAAACGTACCTAACAGTGCGGTTACTGAACACGGGTTACGGATCCACGGCCGAAACAAAGAACGCGAACAGTACCTACGCGAGTAGATACCCAGAGTAGATTATCTATAAACCTTGAGTAGATATCAGATAGTGGTCGTCGCCTCGACAATCAAGGGGCAATCGCGCGGTCAATTCGTCGAAACTGTTAAATGGTGAACACTAATCGAAATTCCGCGTAGCAGTCGGCCGCCTGTGAAAGCCGCTGTAAAATCAAAAATGATATCGCTATCGACACTCGACAATGACAGTATAATATAACCATTGATTTTATAATATCAATGGTATAACGAATTAATGATTGCATGCATTCATAATAAAATACCGCGGGGCCCATTACAACCAAAACGATTTCTTAGTCGCGGGGCCCTGGACTTGTGTCCCATTTGTCCTTTCCTTGTGCCGCCGGCACTGGCTATCGACTATTCGAAATACGACGATTTTTCGCATCTACTAGTACCGAAATAAAGGCTCGGGGACATAGAACGCGTAGGTCAGCGATCACGCCTTCGTCACGGCGGTCAGCGATTTAATGACTGCACACAGACTGCGATTAATTTATGAACGGTCCATTAATCGTACAGTCGTAGTTTAGTAATCTGGTGGTGTGCAGTCCTTAAATCTATCCACCTGGTTTTATTTTTGTATTATATTCTGTATTTTATTTTTTCTTATTTCCACTAAATAATATGTCAAGTTCTGACGAGGAACGACTTCTTTTATTACTCGCCCCTAAAAATAAGAATAAAAACGAATCTAGGCTCTCGAAATCAATACGACGAGGAAACTGTACGGTGAATCGGCGAACATGATCAGCATTTCAGTTTCTTCCATCCAGAGGCGGACTGGGGAGAGATTTTGGCACCCTTTTTTATTTACCAAATACTGAATTTTAGTCAAAAATTATTATCATTATTTAACATAACTACACATTTTTTTCACACATTTGGAAAGTTATTATGCACTTTAAGTTCTGTAATTTATCAATCATATCTGTATGTAATATTTTATATTTGATTAGAAAAAAAAGACGGATACACCTACTTCGAACGTTAGGCCACTTTAGAATTAGAGTAGGTAGTGCCTATAATATTTATTATATTTTTGTTCACCTGGTATATTCGGTATAGACTGTTATTTATAATTTGTTTCAGATTTAGAATCTGCAGATCCAGTAGTGACGTGTACGGGGTTAAATAGACGCAGCTGCGTCATGAAAAAAAAGGTGGGTGGGGTGGATGTTGAGTTTATGGTTGAGATAAAAGATAATTTTATGAATTTTTTTTTTATAATTCCTCTCCACCTTCTCTCATGAAAAAATCGTGCGCAAGGACCTCGTCCATTTAAATATTATTGATTGACTATGTTGAATAACAATTATATAGGTAGGTATATTATATTATTAATATCTACTGAATTCATAACTAAATGTAAAGTTATATAAATTAGAGAATGATTTTTGTCTGCTTTAAAGTTATTATAAAAATATCACTGGTATAAATTTCACATTGCATAGTTAAGTAATTTTATTCACATAACATTTTTTTTAAAAAATAAACTTATTTCATTATTTTAAAAACAATCAATTTTAATTACTTACATATTGTATTCGGAAATGTAAGCCATAGTTTTTATTTTGTTTTAGGTACCAATCTAAGTATTTAATAGGTTTTTTTGCCATATTTAGAAAACTCTACAACGGTTTCGGCGACGGAGTCAAACAATATTCATCTGTACATACATTTGGATATTAATTTATTAACAATGATATAATAAAAAATATAAAATATATTTAATACTTCACATATAAACACATGTTATAATAAATACTATATAGAAATAATTGCTTTTAAACTATTAATTTTATTAATTTACTTATTAAAAAGTATTGAGCTATAATGCTATTAAAACAAATGACATAAATAACTTTTGATTACTGTATTGATTACAATAAGTTTATATATATAGTGTAAGAAAAGTGGTGCGTACAAAATGTTTCCTGTAAACAATAAACGTGTTATTAGTTACTTAACTACACTTAATTTCACGACAACACAATAAATAAATAGTCTCACGATCACTTGTAAATTTATTTGAAAGTGAAAGTTTATTCCAAACATTTGGTTATAATGTCATATAAATATTTGATGTGTGACATAGTATCCTCTTAAGAGAATGGCATGCCCTCACGACGTACTGTCTCCGTTATACAACCGCGAGAATGCGAGAAAATAAAAAAATTTTGTTCAGCAGGGAGAACTTCGTGCTTTTAGTTTTAAAATTAGAGTAAATTAACCTATTATCTGTGTCATCTCGTCATCTAAGAAATAATGTTTATAATTATTTAAAAATTTTCATACGTAAACATGGATAAAAATTTTATTTTGCTAGTTGAAGTTAATCTTTTCGTTGGAAATATTCTTTAATTCATTTTTTAAAATAAATATTTTGTATTAGGTAATCTTTAATGTATTTATATTGAATTTAAAAATTAATTTTCAGAGCTGTTTCAAGTCGCCTAAATTTTCGGGTGACTTGAAACAGCTATAATTAATTATTTTTTTGACGTCACCATTTTTGGTCAAGAAACTTAATGTTAGAGTTTAAACTATTCAAAAGACTTATACGAAAATGTATATATTTTTTGTACACCCATGATATTATATTTAAGCTTAGATTAGTAAGAAGAAAGTCAAAATTTAATCCAATCACCTCTGTTGACTGTATCCTGTTTTTTTTTTTTTTTTGGCATAAAAAAAAATGCTAATTACTTAGATTTTCAAATTCATATAAATATACATACCCTGTATAATTTTTAATTCCCCAAGCCATTATGGTCTAGAACCAACTTAAATGATACCCGTTATTGTTTTATGCAATTCGCCCAAATAAAATTATGTTCTCAACAATTCATGACACTTAATTGACAATTTTACATTAAAATGCCGCAGCCCTGTCGATTTTACCAGTCTAGTTGATTGCTGGGCATTTGGTTTTTATTCCAGACGTACACGCCACCGCGTTCCTGAAATGCACGTTCGTCGAAACCGGAGTCTCGGAGCGCCTGACGGACGCCGACGTCCAATAAAGACGCGGACGGCTCTTTCTTGCCGTTCCGGCAGTTCAGGAACCTCATGTACTCGTCCAAGATTAGGTAACTATCGCGCATTGTATCGTTGCTCTCAGGTACCAAAGCCTTTACTCCGGAGTGCCGGCGCAGGAACTCCTCGAACTCTTCTCCTGTAACATAAAACCGACTGGCATCACGCAGGGCGTCCTCGCCCGCGTTCTCACCCTCCAGCAACAAGCACTGGAACACCTTCCACCGAACGGGCCGGAGGTTGTTTATGTGTTCGGAGAATAGCTCGTTTATGTTGTACGTGTTCACCACCGTGTTGATCTTGAACGCGATCTTGTACCGGGTGCACCACTCGCGCACCTCATTCAACTTAGCGACGTGGTCGGTGCGCGCGCCCTGTTGCCGGCCGATCTTCCGGTTCGTTTCGGCGTCGAACGAGTCGCATGACACGGCCAGCATGTCCACGTGTTCACCGTACTTGCGCATCCACGTTTCCCGAATCAAACTGCCGTTGCTCACTATAGACACGCTGATATCGGCCCATCCGAGTTCCGTCTTGCAGTACCGGATCAGCTCGCCCATGAACCGACCGCCGTCCTTGATAAACGGCTCACCGCCCGAAAAATTTAGTTTTTTCATTCCTTCTTTGGCCAACATGGCCAACCCTCGTTTCGCCTCGTCCAGTGGCAGCACGAATGACGTTTTGGCCGTGTGAAAGCAAAATCCGCAACTGTAGTTGCACCGTCTAGTGAAATGATAGTTGACGCTTATTGGTACCGTCGCAGGGGTGTTTTCGCGGGCAGACTTACGGTAAATCAGAATTCTGACTAGGGTTAAAAAAATCCGACTTATCGCGTTACACGCATTCGTGGCGTAACGTCTGAACACGGCATTAGCCACAGCTAAACGTTCAGACATTATTATAATCATATAGTGATCGCCGATCAATACTTATATATTCACTCGAGACACGATTTTAAGGATTATGTTCTGTGCAAAATATGAACAGGTATGACGTTCAGTCGACCGGCGTGCATAAACTGCGAAGCGCTACGTAAATGTACACTCGAAATTACGTTTTATTTCACTCGCATACTCGCGTGCCATTCATAAAAGAAAAGAAAAAAATGGAAAAAATAAGCATGACAAAAAATTTGTCTACAGACAACAATACCGAATGTTTGTTTACACTTAGTGTACTAGTTATTTTAATAAATGCAGCCTATACGTCATGTACTTCAAACACAATAATTTTATTGTTCGTTTTCATCAGAATCTGTTAACTGTTTTCAGTCATTTGGTCTGTATATAGGTAGTTACGCTGTGATAATATACATACATAATATACTTATATTTTTTTTGTAGGTATTATAAATACCATAAAATGACTCCAAATGAATATCTAACTATTAACTACAGTAAATTTTTAATGTTCTATTTACTTGTCACATTGGTTTCACTCAGTGGTAGTGCGATAAAATTTCTTTCTTGGGGCACCTTACCAATCGTAAGTGGATACTAAATATTATGTATTTTCCACATCTATACAAATTGACTGGCGCTACTGACTAACCATATTTTATCGGAAACCAGATAATTATTTTAGGTATTAGTAAAAAACTAAATTGTAAACAGGTATACAATTTTCATCACGTTTCATCCGTTGTAAACACAATAGCTCAGGTTGCCGTCGAAAATTTGCGACGAGAATTATTTCACGCGTATTGTCTCGCCATCGCTGTTCATCAGACGCACGTACAGGGGATGGAGGTTAGAGTTTTAACCCCCCCATTGAATTTCATGAAAATCATGATAAAAGTAGATTTTAAATAGAGTCTCAAAAGTGATTTCTGTCAATGAAGGAAGATGAATACAATTTTGATTTTATTTTTATTTTATTACTAGATAGTAGGTATACATTGTTATTGTTAGCAGTTCTAATTTTTTAAGGTTTTCCTGGTTTTAGAAAACTATGATCGTTACGGCGATGTTGCATATAGCCCGCGCAATAATCATCATAATAGCATCGTAATAATATGAATAAAGTATGTTATCATTTAGGCAATATTCACTAAAGAAATTTAGTAATAGGTACTAAAAGGCTAAAAATGAATGTTATAAAATACAGTGGAACCTCTATTATCCGAACGTTAAAACTCGTTGAAGCAATCGTACACCGATTTTTTAACTGTCGAAATTTATTATTAGTACATACATACATATTATATACATATAAATCATGCATATATATATATATGTACGAGTGAGAATCGTTAGTAGATAATCGAGACGCGGTGTGTTTATCTAAGCCTATCAAAGCGTGTTAAAGCGCTCGTAATATCATAAACAAATTATGTTCCTATGTATACTTTGTGAATATATATTTCTAAATACATAATGTAATTCTAATATAACAATAAAAGTAATAAATATGTAATACACTATAATACATAATAATTGTACGTTTTTAAAAACAATTTCCAGTATCCAAACTTTCACATATCCGAACTAGGTGCGGTCCCAATAAGTTTGGATAATCGAAGTTCTACTACGTTAACGTACATTTCACCAGCCCCTCCCCCCTATCCAAAAATCTCAAATTTTCTTTTGCATCAATCCTTAACATAAAATTAACATGAATTTGATAGAATTTTAAGGACAACGTTTTATTATTAAAACAATTTTAAAAATTAAGTACATCATATTATACAAATATAATATTTATTAAATGGTATAAAATAACATTTCATATTCTACAAAAGTTGTGCAATCATCCAAACAATATTTCAATATAGATAATACGTTATAGAACGTTTCGCGGCGGTAGAACGATGATTTATACAAAAGCCTTCAAATTTGTATGTGTATCGTCCCTCGTTCCTTTATTCATTTGCGACTACAACAATTATTACGGGACATTTCTCAACTACGTAAAGGATTGGATTTAAGACTAGACTACCTAAGCTATAGACTTTTTTTATGTGAACACCTTTTCTACCAGAAAGTATACTCCGATTATCAAGTACAACACCTATTCTCAAAGGAAATGTTCTCTGGATGGTATTTTGAAGAAGTCATTTTTTGAAATTATCTTTAATATTCGAAATAATGAGGAAAACCCGGTTCTTTTAGTTAAAAAAGTTGAAAAATAAAAAATAAGATTGCCAATGGCAACTGCTTTTTATTTTTTTTTTTGTTATTAAGTTTTCATTATTTGAATCTTTTTTAAACAATCATTGATGCCATTAAAACGTGCATTGTTTGTAATTATTTTACCATAATATAACATATATATTGTTGACAAAGCAACACTGTCTACAAAACTCAGTTCAAAATTGTTATTTCGTTAGTAACGGTTAAGCGTTGCTAACAGTTATATATTAAATTACCTATAACAGTGACTGCATCCGTCCCCATTGTCCTAGGACGTCTTTTATAATACTGGTTGATCGTGATTTAATTCATTATTATTTTATACAAATTTAGCAAGGGGCAAACAAAATTCCAAGGGGGAGGGGCTATCACCCGAATACGAATACTAAAAATATATTGCAAATATTTTTTATTTTATTAGATATTATTTACATGTATTGTTGTTTTAAAGGTTCGTTTGTGAATTATACAAGCTGGGTGCAATCCTGAGGAGATTATATAGGTAGTCGTTTGTAAATGAACTGATGAGAGTATGTAGGTATATGACGGCAATTTACAAATCGAATGTCTATGCACCATTGTAAAGTCGGTTACACCGAAATTATCCCAAGTAAATTACTTTACACAAACATTATGATTATATATCGCGGACACGAAATAATTATATCTAATATTCACAGACGTACTGTATGACACGAGTATTTAGTCATTATTGCTGTTGCTGGAAAACGATATTTCCAGAGCGGACACAATGCCCTCAAAATTTAAAAAAATTAATACACGAAATAAATTAAAGGATATATATGCATTTAATCGACTGGATTTACGAAAATATGAGTATCGTCAAATTAACAAGATATTAAATAAATCCCCTGAGTTTATCATGGAAAAGGTTAAGATTATCTGGTTCAATTAATCAAACCTCCATGACGAAAACGCGGAATGTACATACGTATCGGAATTATTGACCGCTGTACGAAATTAATTCAAAAATTCATTAAAAAAATTTTATTAAACTTTTTCTTTTTTTCAGAGCAGTATGTTTGTGTATAATTTAATTCCTATTTACTTACTTGTTACTTTTTTATTTCGTTTGTTGTAATCTTAGTTTTTATATTTTTTTATAAACTATTTGTTTAAAAAAAAAATAATAATACAAATTGTTTATTACTGTATCATTACACTTTACTTAATTTTATGATTTGACAAATTATTAATTATTTCGTTGATACTTTATATATTTAAACAATTGAATTTTTCGATGGTTACCGTATTTTTTGAAAATAAAAAAAAAATCTCTTAACTACTTTGTGGATTAGAGGCCCATTATTTCTCAACATTGTAACCATATCAATATATCTAAAGTTTCTTTTCTGCATGGAAGAAGTAGATATCTAAAATAGTTTGATATAATTAATTTAAAAAAAATTATATCAATAAAATACAGAACTTCTGTAGTATTTAAAATTAATACCGTGCACAAGGGTAAAAGTAGACAAACAAAACTATTATGAAACTAATAAATTATAGTAGTTACACGTACATTTATATCGCTCTCCGCTTTAATATTATGCTCATTCTTAAATGTTCTGTAATTTATCGCCATATTCATCAAGTGTCACAATTTTAATATCGTCGTATCCGTAAAAAATATTCCAACAGTGCTTGATCCATTTGATAGTGGGCAAACTTCAAATTCACTTATTAACTCCAAAAAACGGGTAAATATAATTATACAATTATAGTTAAGTATAAAGTAGGTACTGACCAAAGTCACCGGGCGACCCGGCCATAGGTCGGCGGTCGTTACACGTTATACGTTGCCGCGTCGCGGCATCTTATCTTCTTATTAACATAATAAGTTTGCCCAAATCAAATATAAATCTTAATGTTAATATAAAATATTCAACAATTATACCTTCAACCCAGAATCGAAATAACACACTATCAATTAGAACACAAAGCGCGTCAAACGATGTTTTCGATTCATTATTAAACACAGACGAAAATAATTTCACACCACGAAAATCGAAAAAAAAAACCAAAAACGCACTCTTTCTTCGCCAATAGCTGATGGACATGAACCAAAAAACAGCATCCCCTCATCATCAATAAATAATACTGATGACATCAATGATACTCAAACTCCTAAAATCAAACCACTACCTCCGATATTCGTTCGAGAATTACTTGACTTTGCAGGCTTTCGCAACATATTAATTGAATCAATAGGTTCGGAAAAATGTATATTTAAATTATCCACCAATGCCTTAAAAGTCCAAACAGCTAACCCTGATTCATACCGAAGTACAATCCACCTTTTAAAAGGAAAAGAAACGCAATATCGCACATATGAACTACACGAAGCTGCTACACGTTTAACTCAAAAGGACGCACTTAACTCAAAATAGTTAACCGAAAAAATTATTCCATATTAGCTCCCACCGACCCAACTTACTGGCCTATAAATAAACGCCCAGATATCTTAGATATATTTATAGTTAATATCCCTACTAACATACAAAATGTCATAAATAATTGTTTAGAACTATGCTCAGACCATATTTCAGTCCTTCTATCTCTGGATGCACAACCCCCCCTCCGGCCCCGACAAGCTTGCCTTACGGCTGGTACTACGGACTGGAATAAATTCCGCGAAATAATTGAACAAAACATCAACCTAAAAACCCGATTAAAGTGCCCAAATGTACTAGAAAACGCTGTTCAACATTTTAAAAGTATAATCCATACAGCTGCTTGGAGTTCCATTATTAAAGAACTGTGGAAAGCCCTAAACTCTTTCTCAATTCCTACCCATATTCGTGAGCTAATAGCTTAAAAACGACGTGCCAGATCCCTCGGGAAACGCACTCATATCCCATCTGATAAACATTGGTTCAACAATCTTGCTTCTTCGCTCAAACGAAATTTAAATCAATTAAGAAATGATACATAAAGACCACATAAAAAAAAAAAAAAATCCTCCTAAACTCTAGACGAAAATCACTACAATTCTTACTCGGTAAATTCTCTAAACTTAACACAAAAACAAAATTACTTCTATATATAACTTTATTAATGCCCATTTGGACATACGGGATACAGTAATGGGGCGCAACCAAAAAATCAAACACAAATAAAATTCTAACTTTCCAATCTACAATCCTTCGCATAATCACAAATACCCCTTTTTACATTTCTAATCACACCCTTCATACAGATTTAAAAATTAGTACAATAGAAGAAACTGCCAAAACCTTTTATAAACGTTTTCGCTCCGGACTGATAAACCATTCCAATCCACTAATCTCTGTTCTAGATTCCGAAGCCATTCCTGGTAACCCCCCCCCCCTCTGTCGATTAACAAAATATATAAAGGTAAATTTAAATTAACTTAATTTAACCTAATCATGTTATAAAGTGTCGCTATTGGGTGGCTGCTTGTATCACGTACTTATGTCAAGCTATATTATATATTTCCGTATGCATACTTATTGCAATAATTAATTTACAAATTTTATGCCTATAAATAAAAGTTAAAAAAAAAATAATAAATCATACTAAGACTATAATATAGAGGTAGTTTTAATAAGTAAAAATGAGTAAATTTTTGATTACACTCATATTATAATGTATAAATACATTATTTTACCCTACTTCGCACGTGGGCGCAGACACTGTTGTAGGTGGAAAGTTCGGAAGGTAGGATATAGATGGGAACTTGATGTATATCTGTAAGCAACGATAAACTATTGCCAACGAAAAAACGATTCTGAGCTGAGTTTAGTTGATAGTGTTGCTTTGTCAACAACATATATGTCATATTATGGTAAAATAATTACAAACAATGCGCGTTTTCATGACATCAATGATTGTTTAAAAAAGATTAAAATAATAAAAACTCAATAATAACAAAAAATAAATAAAAACAGTTGCCAATGACAATCTTATTTCTCATCTTTTAATTTGTTTTAACCTAAAAAACCAGATTTTCCTCATTATTTCGAATATTAATGAAAATTTCAAAAAATGACTTCTTTAAAGTTCCACACAGAGAACACTTCTTTTGAGAAAAGGTACTATACTTGATAATCGAAGCATAATTTCTGGTAGAAAAAGTGTTCACATAAAAAAAAAATTAAAAAAATAAACATCATAGTAAAATCAATACATTCCTGGAGCCAGGAATTTTTTATACCGACATCTGTATATTTAATCGTAGGATAATGGAACCACTATGAAATAGACCATACAAGGACAATTAACCAACTCAAGGGTTGGCATGTAGCTCTAAACAGGATTATATATCGACCACATCCAAATGTTTTTATTTTGATTAAAGAATTAAAAAACGAACTTGACATTCTGTCCCAAAAAAATATAATTAAGCTCCAGAAATGAAAAAAAAGTACAAAACTTTGGAAAATAGATTGAAAACTGCAAAAGAACTGTAAATACTATTTAATTAATCATACAATTAAAATATATTAATACCTAAAATGTATGTTTTATATTAGACTCGGAAATGGACAAATAATGATTATGTAGACGTGATTATCTACCACTTCCATCTAGATTAAAATAAAATTGAATGTATGTAATATGCAATGTAATGTAATGGTAATTTTATATTGGCGAATATTTTTTTTAATATAAAACGAAACAAAATTCTGTAAAACAGTGGCATAGTATTTAATGTGATTCGGTGAGATGGGTTTCGGGAATATGGGCTTAAATCTTCTGGTAATGCCTTTGTGTTTAATTCTATAACTGAAAACCAATTATTAGATGAGGAGGGGAGTCGAATTTTTGTTGAGCAATAATTGATGACGCTTGCTTTTTAAATTTTTCAGGGGGGGGGCTTGGCCAAAATATTTTTATTTAATTTTTGTTAAAAACCAATTATGAATAAACAAAATAATTATAACTTGACAATATTTTTTGAAATCGCTTAATGACGCTAAATAAAAATTCCAAATCGCCCAATTGGCGACCAGTCGACAGTGTTGATGTTTTAACGCCAATGTAGGGTTCACAGTTGCCCAACCTGACAACATGGAGTTATTCCATTCTGCTCATCACACATTATTACGCCGTAATTTCCACTCTACAATTCTGCCAACCACACTCATTGCGTCAAACACGCGTTAGTGTAACATTGGCTCCCTGTTCGTTGGCATAATTCATTGTTTGTTCCATGTATCTGGTAAAGGACGCCGACAGGACGGCCATTATTTTATAACTTTACATCACCACGTATAACTATACAGGTATATAGTATAACTTGGAGGAATTGATTTCCTTTTATTTCCCTTCCAGAGACTAAACCTTGCCTGACGCTTAGGGCTTGTACACTATTGGTTGAACGATCTCTGTGTTAGTGTTCTTTGTAAATCGATCTCTGTGTTAGTGTTCTTTGTGAATTGTGTTTTTCGTGGTTCCTCGTGCTCCTCGTCGTTAACAAGTAATATTCCTCTTTGAAGTTATTAATTTATTTCTACGTTCTATATCTGTGTCGTAAACGGCAAACAGTCCAAATTTACGTGCACCGTTTTCGATTTTCAATTATCTGCCCAATAAGTAATAACAACGCCTTCCAAGTAAGTTAACACAACTAATTAGAACACCGTAGTATACCATGTTTTTTTTAAACTTTGAACAATTTGTCTACCATTAATTTTGCTCAGATTTACAATAATAGCACTTTTTCTGAAAGAAAATTTGATTAGGGTGGTCATACTTTAGAGCTCATCTGTCATGTCTCGATTCACAGCGGGCTGTTTAAAGTTGGTAGGAATTAAAATTCACTGACACCATCGAACATATATTATGTATATTAAAACCACGGGTTAAGCGTGATGTTGACGTTGCATCATACCTACAATTCATAGCAGCCACCAACCCATAGCCCAGGTGGAGCTATACAATTTTGTTATACCGAACTATTAAATAACAAATATTAATTTTGTAAATTAGGTATGAAAGATTAAATTCAGAAATATACAAGGAAATATAATAACTTGCTCAGATTAAATAAATAAATATTTAGTTAGAGTAGAGAAAAGCAGATAGGTATAAAAACTCCATGTAAAAGAAAACTGGATATTTTACCCGACAATGCACGCTATACATAATTAAAAATAGTAATATAATTATTTGAAACATAAATCAAACAGAAAAACTGCAATATTAACATTTTGATCATATATGCATAAAAAATTAATTTATTAAAAAATGCTGGGATGTTAGGAACCATACTTTAATTTTGATTAAAAATGTACAGATCCTAAATAAAGGAATTTAACGTGTTCAATGAATTTGTGTAATTTTGAAATATTATGTACTCTGTCAATAGTGATTTCTTATTTGAATCTTTTTATACTTATTAATTTAAAAGTATGATATGTGTACTCTTTTTCTTTTTTCCTTTTTTTTTTTTTTTTTATTTCTAATATAAATTCATATAAATTATATTTTAAATTTTAGAATGAAAGGAACTGATTACGAAAGAAATACAACTGGAGAATCTGGCTCTGAAGAACAAGAAGAAGAATACTCTGTGGAGAAAATTTTGGACAAACGGATGAAGAACAACAAAGTGGAATATTACTTGAAATGGAAAGGTTATAACGACGAGGATAACACTTGGGAGCCACTAGAAAATCTTGATTGTGAAGAGCTAATCGCAGAATTTGAAGAAAAATTAAAACATAGGCATAGAGATAGAAGAAAGTCTAAAGAACAAGTTGAACGTGGACGTAAACGTACATTATCTAATTCAACTAATATGAGTTGTAGTTCGGCACGATCAGCATCTAATGCTGGTACGTCTAGAGATACAACTAGAATAAATCCACCTCCACCAAAAAGACTTAGAGGTCATAAAGTTGACAAAGCAGCGGAAAAAAGTGATGATGATGACGATGATGATGATGAAGAAACAGAAGACGAGAATGAAGACGACGAGAATGAAGACGACGAGAATGAAGACGACGAGAATGAAGACGAAGAGAATGAAGACGACGAGAATGAAGACGACGAGAACGATGACGACGAGTATGAAGACGAAGAAAATGAAGATGACGATGGACGACCAAGTTATAGATTTTTCAATAGACGTATTACCCCAATTAATGTTAGCAGTGCCCGTTATGCCAATAGGCAGGCTGAAAAAATTATTGGCGCTACCGATTCAAGTGGTCAATTAATGTTCTTATTAAAATGGAAAGAGATAGAAGAAGCAGACCTCATTTTAGCTAGAGAAGCTAACAAATTATTTCCACAAGTCGTTATTCAATTTTACGAAGAAAGACTTACCTGGAATGCCCCTACAGATGGAAGGAATGGGATTTAACTACATCTATTATAATTTTGAAGTAATATAAGTATTGTTTATACATTAAGAAATAAATAAAGTTAACTAAATATAAATTTACATTTTGTTCTATTTAAAAATTCCTATATATTAATGTGTTATTTTGTATTTATTTGTTTAATCATTTTTATTGTTTTTACTATTTTTATTTATTTTATCATATTATATAAAATATTGTGTCCATTTATAATGACGTAGTTATTTTTTAAGTATTAAGTTTATACTAATCTGTAGCAATAGTTAATTGAAATTAGGTATTTTATAATTTTGTTTTGGAAATAAATTTTTTAATAATGAGATATTTTTTTATTCCAGGCACTTTATAAATGTTATAAATTTTAAAATCAAAAAAATGTATCGACTCATCAGAATATTAACCAGTCTCAAAGTTTTTGAAAAAAAATTTAAAATTAGATAATTTATGTAATAGGTACTGCATACATAATGAATGCCATCAAAAATTACCTACATAAAAATAGTATACACATAGTAATACCTGTAAGAAACAATAAATTATCATTAATGAAAAACTTTTATGTGGGAAGTTTGTTTAAATATAAAATTGAAATGCTATTATTTTCAAGATTTTCTTTAAAATGCTTACAAAAAAATATATTCACATAAAACGGAAAATAATATGTGAAATGATTCATTATATTTACAATTTTTTTTCAAAATTTGAACTTATAACACAATTATTGCATTACACTCAACTTTTTTTACCTTCAAGTACAACTTATGATGAACTTTGAAAAAAATTTTATTTTTAAAAAATAAAAAAACCCTCGAATAAGTCAATGCCTGTATACAATTAAAAAGATCTACAGGATTTAAAAAGTATTAATTTAAGTTTTCTATGGAAATTTTACATCTATGATTGTTACTATAATGTTTGGGAGCCCTGATTATTTGAAGCATCATCTGTATATAGTTTTAATAAGTTAACTTCATACAGAACTCCATAGTTAACCTTAACTGCCTTATATATCTTTTTGGGTTAGCAAAGGTATCGTTTTGCTAACCTCCCTTCCCCCAAAAATGTTTTCTTGTTGGAGTTGTTTCTGTAAAAGATTCTAAATATATACTTCCAAATACTTATTCTTGACACTAATGCAATACATAATCTGTTCAGTGGTAATTTTGAAAAAATTGCGATTTATGGGATTTTTAAATGTTAAAAAAAAAAAAATTTAGTTCATTATACTCACAGCCCTATTTATAAGTTAATATGTTTTTTTTAATATTGGAGATAAAATACTGATGTAACATCCCACCCAAGGTGGATAAATAAAGTGAACCAACTCGAAAAAAAATGACATAAATTACTCCAGCTATTTTCACCACTAAAGTGTGTTGTCGTCAATTGATGTCAGCACAATATAAAAACCAAATGATTTAACATTTTTTGCATACTTTAAATATTATTATTTTTATTGAGCTTCATTTGATATATTGCAGTGTGACTCATACATTATATTTTATAAACAAAAAATAACACAAAGAAATCTTAATTGTAATTTTTTTAATATAATATCAAAATTTATAGTAATATTTTAAGAGGAAAAATACTAAAATTGAAAAAATGTCTACATAGTTATATTATTATAAAAATAATCACTAATTAGTAAAAATTAAATGAGTGGATATTTTTTTTTTAATCACTTTTCATAATTTTTTTTTTGGAACATTTCGTTTACACGCAAAAATCATTCTTGTTCAGGTAAAACTTGGTAATATTTTTAGAAAGTTGAAGTGAAAAAAAGGGAAAATGTATGAATTGAAAGTATTAATAAAAATATAGTAGGCACGGCCTTTTTTTTCTATGAACAACTTTTCTACTACCAATTTTCCTCCAACGCAAAGTATGTCAATCTTTTTATTTTTGACATCACAACAAGGAACAAAACATTTTATTGTTTTTACTAATTTTAAATATCAATAAGCCAAGTAAAATATAAAAATGTATGGTTGAATAAATAATGATAATTTATAATATTCGTCGACAACCGAATAATTATAAATTTTCAGTACCTACCTATTATAAATACTCTGATGGTATAATAAAGACAGGACACCTATGGCAAACACTGCACTGGGTTTATCATCTGTAGTAAATACGACGTTCCCCTCTACACGGACGGGAGGGTATTAGCTAGTTCACCTTATAAATTCACCTTGATCCCACCATTAGGGTTGAGTGAGCGCCTCACTCCATTGATTTTTCATCATTGTAATTTAAATAATAAACATGGAATATTGAAACCAACACCAAATTATTTATATTTTAATCTTTAACAAAAATGATTTTACAAATTTTCTTAATCATAAAAATCAAAAACTACACTATCATTTATCTTGGCCCGAGTGGTTTGACATGTTGTGTTGTGAGCGCAATACTCAATTTAATATTTATGGATACTGATTGAATTATATTTGTAATTTTTTTGTCGATATCTTATCCAGAAATATTTAAGCAGTTATTATATTTACAAAAGTATATTTGGAAAGATGTTAATTGAAGGTATAACTAATATCAGAGAAATCGAGTAATAAATAAACACGCGGTTCACAAAACACTAATGGAATGGGCGTTGTGCTTAAGTCTATCTATTTGATAAATTAGGCTGAACCTACACCAAGAACGTGTATCGTCGAACACACGCAGTCAAAATAATCTCCTACATTGGAAACGAATGTCAGTTCGTCGTCAGCAGCTACGCTCATTTTCCCCGCTTTTACGGAGATCGGTGATTTTGTTTTTTTCTACTACTTACTGTCGTTTTCATTAGTCAAGTGTTTGTTAAAGTGTTTAACAGTATATATTTAAATTAAAATGAGCGACTCCGAGGGCGATCTTGACCTTTGATTTTTAACGGAAACAATTGGGCCATTCAAGATAAAGAAAATGTGTGTGTACTGGTTTAATAAACAAAGGAACGACGGCAAATATTTTAGAACCTGTCTACTCTTATGCGACTTTCCAAAAAAATTCTTTAATTATTTCAGATTGAATATTGAGATGTTCGACTACATATTTACTAAAGTACTATACATATTATGTATAGACTGACGCGTCGGATGAAAAACAAAATGTATTTATTTTTGACCGATGGTCAGAACTTTCGGCTGATATACGTGCTGCCGTTCTGTACCACTGTAGATGATTACTGGTAGTGATGGGAATAATCGAGAGAAAATAATCGCTTGAAAAATTAGTAATTACTAATTAGTAGTTACTATTTTTATATTTATTAGTTTAGTAATTTAGTAGTTGGTGATTACTCGAAACAGTATCAGTAATCATTCTTATTTCTTTCTACAATTTTATTGACTACTAATAACTAGTATTACCTATATTACTATTTTCTTATTGCGGACAGTGTATCAAAACATTAAAAAAAGCGGCGTGCCTGTACAATGGCGTTCTTATCTCACACAAAGTATAATAATATACAATATGAATCAAAATAAAATAACTCATAGTTTACTATTATGCGCAAATGCTAAAGAGATCATTGTAATCATTTCTAGATGATTCTGGTATCATAAATGAAATAGGTAGTTGCTAATTTGCTATTGTTCCTATTCTAATTTTGATCACACACATACCATGTAATATTTAACTATTATATAAATAATTGAATGACCTTTATTTAGGCACATTTTATTGTATCGTTTGTTTCATTTATTGAAACTGTCCGCGTATTGTAAAACATCGTGTACAAAATTAACGCGTATCGTAAAAAATTCAAAATAAATTTTTAAATTTTAAAATGCGACCAGGCTTGTCAAAAACGTTTTGTAGTGTGGAAGCATTTTTAAAAAAAATACCGATAAAAGTGTAATTAATTGTCAAATCTGTACAAAAGAATTAAAGTTTTACGGAAATACAACTAATTTAATAGGTAAGAATGTCGTAGATTTAATGAATAATGAGTGTTACTGCTCAGAATCTAAAATAGTATGAATTTTTACGATATATTGAGTGATTCTTATCTATTCGATTAGGTACAATATTTCGATTATGATAATATTTCAATTACTAATCTCTCGATTATTGAAATCATTCGATTATTCCCATCACAAGTTACTGGCTATGCTTTCACGCGGGTATTTGTTTATAATCCAACATCGTCCGTCTCCGTGTCAGACGATAAACTGATCAGATACGTTGTTAGTGTAGGTCCGGTCTAAGGTGTAGAATTTCAGACTTAGGAATAAAAATTAAACAACATTAAAAACTATTGTATATATATATTTTTTTACAAAAATGTATATGGAATGTATAATTTAATTTTGTTAGTAATGTTAGTAATACATACATGGGTTATTAATTATTTTATTATATTTGTATGGAGACAAGCATAATTTAATTTTAGGTTATTTAAGTATAGTACTAGTAGGAACTTAACTTAAAAAAATACATTGAAAATAACAACTGCATAATACTATAATCTGTTTGGCACAAATAAAATACAATTTACATACCTCTGCAAAATAATACTTCAGAGATATTGAGCAAAATTAAAATTATATTATGGTGAAAAAATAAAATGTTCTATTAGAGATCCGTGTTTTGTAAATAATGAAATAAATACAAATAGAACTTAGACATTTTAGATTTGAATGAAAGAAAAAATAAAAGGAAAATTGTCTAGGAATATGTAACAAAAAATTAAGGTCAGATTAAACAAAGTTTATGAACTAATTTCACTATGAAGAATTATAAGATCATAGATACAGTGAATTCCGCTTAATGGGATCACTGGTTTATAGAATCAACCGTTTATTGGAATCAAAAATGAAAATCCTAAACCAAATCTTAAGTTACTAATGTTAAATTAATCTTTTATTAGAATCATAAAGTACCGGATAATTGAATTACTTTTATGAACATTCTTATCTTTTTTATAGTATTATATGCTTTTATTATAGTTATATGGTTTTTTTTACTGTATGTTCCAAGACTGTAAGTTACACGTATGTAATAATGTATATACATTATTATGCATTTAATTTTAATTATATGTATATTAATTGAATATGGATTTAAATTTCAGGTTAATATGAAAATTAAATAAGAAGAATCAAAAATAGATACCTAACTATTTTATGTAAAGTTCACTTATAAATATAGAATTTTAAAAAAAAGAAAAATTGTTTTGTGGAATCAATGGGTTAATAGAATCAAAACCAATGTGATCACATTAAGTGGAACTCACTGCATTTTATTATCGATTTACACTATACGGAAAGTCAACATTATGTCAAATATCTTCCTATGTATTTATATTGAAATGTTCACATACACTGGCACGTTACGCAACATAAACGTTACAGAACACTAATGTTTATTGAAAACTATATTTTGATGTGGAGTAGATCCGTTCTTGATTCTTCTTCGTTTTTTTTTATCCATTGTTGAACAATGTATGATATTCCCCAAATTACTTTATTTTCATTAACATTTCTCATACCCATGTTCTTCTATGTGATTTGTTGTCCTCTTCTCTTCCAAAATAATTGCCATTATCGGTAATATTTCTTTTATTAATTTTTAGCATGATGAAGTAGTATATTATATTATTACTAATTGTTATTAGGAATTTTAATTTAAAACCACTAGGCAAATAAAATATAAATTTTTAAATATAATATTTTTGGTATTTATACACTTCCGTAGACTGAACCTCTATAAAATACAAAGTTTTGTTTGACGTTTCTAAAATTGCACATGATGTGATGTTAAATGTGAATACATTTGAAGTGATGTTGCCGGTCTATGACATGACGTCCCGTATAGTGTGAATCGACCTTATATCTACAAACAGGTTATTAAAGAAAACAACATATCTAATTAATTTTGTGTTATATAGAAAGAATATTAATGAAAAATTATCAACTGAAACTGAGAGATAAAAAGAATATTAATAGAAGCAAATACAGTCATTTCAATCACACTAAAGAATTAGACTACAATTATTTCAACACTAGTTATGAAAAAATATGAATTAGGTTAAAAACCTGATAAAAAAGTATATATATATATATATATTTATAATCTTGTTCGTTTGTATTCAAGGACAAACTTCGTCTAGTGCCATTTGCCCTTTTGTGCAAATATATCAGCACGTAAGTTTTGAGCAAAGCAAATGCCCAAAATCTGAAATTCAAAACAAAAATCTAATTATGATTAATGCTGATAATCATCAGAAACAATATTTTAATGATAATAAAAAAATGTTTAATTTTATAACAAATATATCTAAATATGATATAAACTATATATAGGTATAGATAATTTAAAATAGATACATATATAATACATAATTCTGAAAATCATGCAACTAAGATTTTCTAGTTCTATTTTTGTAAACTATTGTGCAATACCATTTCATAATTTCTACAATTTTCAAATAACTAATTTGTATTAAATCAAAGTTAAGATAAACACAATTAAAACTATACAACATACTGATTACATTTTTCTCATACTAATGTCTGGATTAAGATTACAAATTACACACACAATATGAACAGATCCTTCACTCCCGCGGTTTATTATTCCGTAGTTGAATCTTAATTAGGTATGGTTCAAAAATAAAAATAATCATTCAGTTAAAATATTTGTATAACTAGAATTATTAGTTTTAAACTTGGATTTTAAATACACTTAAATTTATAAAATATAACTAAAAGATGATAAAATAAAATGGAAACATTGCAAGATATTAGAAATTAGAACTACTTAGAATTTACTCCAAATATGTTATTATGGATAGGTTTGTTAAAATTAATTAATTCTTATTTTTATTAGCTGTATATCCTATTATAGTCTCACATTAGAAATTAATCCATATAGTATTGTCATTCAAGAAGAATTGTTTTAAATTTAGTTGAATTTAACTTCTTGGTATTAGGAGTTGTAGCACATAATATATTATATTGATAGATTCATAGAAACATTGTAACACATTAACAGCTATTTGACATATTCATATAGATTTACAATTGAGAGTTGAGACATTAACTTAGTGGTGGATTTAGGACACTTCCCAATATAATATAATATAATAATTTGATTTTTATTATAGATGTGTGCTTTATATACACTTTAAAAAAAATCTACCTCTTATCTCAATTAATTTGTCTTAGATGTACCTCTTCATTAACTTAAAGGTTCTAACAAACTCTTTAGGTTAGGTTAGGTTTGCTGCTGGTACTTAAGGCTTAATAGAGAAAAATATACAAATGAACTTAAATATTTAGTATAGGGAAATTATTTATTTGATATATTAACTACTAGATAACTTTTAAAATAATGATTAATTTTTTACCATAATGTAATATTATTTCAAGGATTAAAAGGTTGAATAACAGAAATATTTTAAAGTAATCTAACTCACCTTACAAAAAGCTGATATAAGACACACAGTAGCAATAAAAAGCATGTTTCTTTCTAGCCATTCTTCTCCAGCTTGTAAACATCCTTTTTCATTAATGATGAGATCCACTCGTTTTCCGACATCGTCGGTCTATATACAATTACACACAAGCATTGATAAAAACAAATGTAAATTAATAACAAAATATACAAATAAGAACAAAAGCAAAACATGCACAAACACACACCATAAACAAAACATTACATAACAAAGTGCTAAAAAAAAGCATGACATGCTATGTTAAGCATTAGTTATACAGACTACCTGTAATATTGTTACAGTCATAATTGATGTTAATACACCAATAAAGTTATCCTCAACCCATTCCTCAGCAGCTCTCATGCAACCTCTTTCATATATATTTCTTTCACCAGTCTGCGTAGGTAAATTTAAGCTTGTCCATTTCTCAGCATACTATAAATGATAATAGCGAGAGAAGTTTAAATTAATAGTTGTTAAACATTATTAATACATTAAATATATTAAATTCAATGTTTATTGAATTAATTAAGTCTTTAATTTCTAATTTTTTTTTTTTTTTTACGTTAGTAATGTTAGTTAATAATTACACACGAATATGAATAAGGTACATTGGGATGGATCAAAAAAAAATTTTTTTTTGCAGGTATTTATCTTTATATTTTATTTGTACAGGTGTTACAATGCAATCAAATTTTATTTCACTAAAAAAAAAGTTTCCATTTATTTCCTTATAACATTTTGATGATTTAAACTGAACAAATAATGGCAAAATAGATACAAATTGCGTTATTCACCAAAAATTGAATTCTTTTTTTTATTAAACAAGATTTAATGATATTATCATATTTGTACAAATAAAAAAAGATAAAACTATGAAAAGAAAAATTATGTTTTGGTCTACCCATAGAGTAATACAGAGAGGCTTTACAAACATTACCGATTTGAAACGAACTAGAAGTACTTTCAGTGGTACCACAAGATACAATAATTACTATTGTATATCTTAATAATTATCATATTTAATACATTTTGCAACACATTATAGTACAGTGGAAAATTGTACTAAAATAATAATATATTATAATACAGTGAAAACTTCATAACTCGAATCGGTGGACAAAAAAAAAAAAAAAAAATTGAGTTTACGAAAATTTGATTTAAAGTATTTAATATACGAAATATGTGATTATTATAAAGCGGAAATTTTTAGGTTTTTATATATATTTATTGGCTTTATGCAGAGCAACGAGGATGAAAAATCTGGATGGTTTATCCATTACACAGTTTGCGAAATAAAATTTGTTTTACATATTTAAACATATTTTGAAGATTAAAGAATATTCAAATATAATATATATTATACAAAACAACAAAAGACAATGTTGTTGATAATAAAATGTATAAAATAAATAACGTAAAAATATAAATCAAAAATTGCATGCTATCTTGCAGCCAATAGTTTTATTAAGTGGGTACTTTCAAAACTGACCGGCTTCACTTTCTTAACACGTACAATATAGACTAGGGCCTCTTTATATTACTGTATGGATTACCCAACTCAAGGTACATACTATAAAACTTTTAATACTTACAAATCCTTCTTTCCTGACATCATACCCACACTGTTTGTTCTCTACTATTTCCTAAAAATATAATAATATTTAGTTAGTTAAAAAATATTTAAATGATAAAATTATCATAATACACACACACTATTGAACACATTTAGATGTTTCTTCACTGTAAGTCAGTATCAACTTCAAGATCTTTAATTTTAAATATATTATATTAAAATTTATGAAGCCTGATATATTTATGAACAATTGTGTCCCAATAAATATTATAAAAAAATTAATTTTTGATTTCTAAATATTTGGAAATAGGTTAAACATTTTCAAAAATATTACAAAATGAAATAAGTTAGACTGCGGGCAATCTGAAACTATTCAACCAATTTTGATAAGTGCTCATTAGTGTGATTTTGTCCAATCTAAAAGATAGGATAATTTTCATCTCGATTAATGATCTAGAAGGGAATGAAAATTAAATTATTTTTGTTGAACTATGGGTTACTTTAGTTACATGGATGAAATGAAAAAAAAAACTTAAAACAAAAAATAAATAATAAACAGAAATAAAAACGCCATAACAACTATTACAAATTGAATAAAAAGTCTATCTGACTGTCTGCCGGTTTATAATTGGCTTGAAATAGGATGAGTCAACTTGATAACACCGAAAAAAAAAAAACAATAAACCTGTTGTATGGGCGGGTAAGTAAAAATGCGTAAAAGTCATCTTTGAATCTTTGTACTTTTTGGTATAGTAATAACACTACACTACTACAATCCAATTATGTTCTCATAAAGTTAGTGTTATTATAGTGGATAATATATAGTTTAAATCCTTGTGCAGTGAGGGTATCTATGGTAACCCAGATGAAAAACATTAGTTTGCCATCCATTAGTTTTAATCCACTTTCCATCTATTTGTAATCTTTAGATATACTGATACGAGCAAAGCAAAACCGGAATAAAGGTAAAAAAAAAATGAAAAATTAGTACGGGAAATGACGAGCACAGGATAGCTAGTAATAGAATATAATACAGCAGAGTTTCGATAACTCAAATTTCAAGGGACCTATAAATTAATTAGACTTGAAATTTTTTTTTCAAATTCAAGTTAGCTATTATACATTTTTTAAATATTTTAAATCAATTTATATATTTTATTGGTCACTAAATCCAATTTACACAACACATTTTACTAACCAGTGAGTACATACTAATTGATAAACTGAAGCATTTTCACTGCATATTTTACGAAAAAACGACATAGTTCCTACTTTTCCAATTGCTTAACCAACCTTAACTAGCTTTAAATTGTTTGTAACCAAGTTTAATTGCAAAAAATTCAGTTATCTTCTTTAAAATTGGCCTATTTATTGGAATGTTTAAATATCAACATTGTAAAAACCAACTGAGTAAACTAACCTCTATATCTGGATATTCAGAAATCTTTTGTAAAATAAGATCTTAATTTTTCAGTAAAGTTAAAAGTGCTCATTGTTTAGCAATTCAATTTTCAGGTTTAACATTTTTAGTTATCTTATTTATTATATTCACTGTTGCAGTAATTGTTAATGTAACCAATTTAAGTTTAAGAGACATAACAAATAATACACATTACAATTTTACACGCTACACAACATAGGTAGAAAGCAACTGTTGATTACTTCACAGTGCAATAGTGCACAGTAGTTTTATATTTAAAATTGTTAACTGGTTCTAATGATAAAAATTAAGTATAATCGACTTTGATTTATCTATGTATAATTATTTTAGCTTGAACTTATAGTACAAATATTCCAATGAGGGTATAAGAATTTTCAGAAAAAAAAAATAATAAATTATATCTATAATAAAAGTTTTAACTTACATTTGGTTTACGTTTGCAACAAGAAAATGGTACTCCACATGCTTCTCGGCTACCAACCATTTGTGAAGAACAGTTAAAATAATTATTCAGATCCCAATCTTCAGGACCTTTGATTCCACAACATTGTAACTTTAGATTAAACATACAAATTTGTACAAATAAAATATTTTTGATATGTAAATTAATTAAACCATATTCTTAATAAAAATAAAAATTTAATAATTAGGAACAAACCCAATCTTCCTGTATCCAATCTATAAGATTTTGCTGATCAGGGTCTTCTCTGTAATGTACAATGAATGTTTGTAATCCTTCAGTAGCTTGTGATTTAATCTATAATTGGATAATTGATTAATATTAATTAGACATCTACTTATAAGAAAATTAAAAGTTAACTTACAGAATCTTTAAAAACAAAAGTTAATACTCCAGCGGTTAGTTCTAATATCAATATAAATGCTAACAAAACGGCATACTAATAAAAAAAAACACATTATTTTAATATTTAACTAAAAATAAATAAAAAATTATATGCATAGACGTAATCGTATATGCAAAATAAAACACTCAATTAAACTTTATCCTAATCATTATAAAAGTGTTTAAATAACATTAAGAACAATGTGACATATTATTTTAAATTTCACAAATTGCATGTTATGTATGATCATAAACATCTTAAATCAAAATTCAAAGTTTTTTTGTTAAGTATGTAAGGAAAATTTATGAGAAAAGAAAATATAGTTTTGTTTAGAGTAGATACTGAACAAAACTGATCCATTTTGCAAAATCTTGTATTACGTATATGTTTATTTGGTTCATAATAGTAGTTCAAAAGTCTTACACTTCCAAGTAAACAAGTATTTTCACGTAAAGCTCCAATGCATCCCGTGAAACCGATTATAAAAGTTATTCCACCTGAAAAAATTTAAAGTAGATATTTTATAACTTAGCTTTATAAACTAGGACACATTAATATTTAATGAACTCCCTATATATTTAAATATATGAGAAATTATGTTGGTAAAAAATATTAAATTAGTGTAAATTTTGTGTTCAATTTAAACTTACCAATCAAAATTAAAGCAAAAGCTGGATCAAGGGCTAAATGTGTAAGTTTACTAAGGTTATTAAATGCATTTTTTTCTGTCCATGCCCAAACACCTACAGCCATCACAGACAATCCAAACATCTAAAGATTTAAAAATATAAATTTTGAAATAATTTATTAAAGATTTATAATTATAAAAAATTTACCCAAAATAATACATTAAAGCTGAATATGATGTATTTAAGACAACAACTAACTTCGCTGACTTCTTCCCGTCTATACTTTTGTTGAACAGCCATATTGATTCAGTTAGACTAGATTTTAAAATTTATATACTCCTACATATACTGAATGTTAGTAAAAAATTGTTCACTAAAACACAAGTTATTACTTACCACAAATTTATTAAATATTAGAGTAACAAAACTATTTACAATTACAGTAACACAATTTTAGAATTTTTAGTTTAAAAATAACAAATAATTCATGTACATTTCTGTACAAATTATGAAATTTGTATTAAGAACTAAGTTAAATAATTAATTTGAGATTTTTACAAATTTTGAAAAAAATGATTTGATTTATACATTACGAATAGTTCGTTCATCAATTTTGGGTGTTCTAACTCCAAACAGTCTTTAAAACCATAATTTCTAAACAATAAAAAAAACTTTACATTTATTTTTTAGAGATAAAACAAAATTTATATTGTTATTGTGATAGTTTTTTTTTTTTATGTAAATCAGGCTAACCACTTCACTTCTTTGTCAATAACTTAAACCTACCAACACTGAAATAGATAACATTATGATATATATTTTTATCTATCTTAGTGCCTACCATGATTTAAGATATACATTAATCGTGGTTCCTACCAACTTGTAAAAATACGTGATAAGAACTAACAAACACGTGCTTATTTTATCGTTTAAACAAGTTATTAGTTGAACCATTGAGTAGGTACTAGTACTAGAAGATTGAAAAATAATAACAAATAACTAATTTTAATAATACTACTTATATTTTGTTTGAATTTATAATCAATATTATAATTTAGTAGTTAACGTGTCTTTTAATAAACAATATATTTGGAACTATACAAATTGGTGTATTGTTTTAACTTTCAACTTACAACTATATGAAATTTGACTATATTATAAGGATATTGTTTAGATTATGTTATAGTGTAACTGTTTAATTGAAAAATTTTCAGCAGTAAGTAAAATATTTAAAATATGTGTGTAAACTCTATTAAATTTTTTAAATATTTATTTTGTATTAAGATTCAAATATGATTGTTAAAAGTGTGTGGTATAATGGAAGATTTTGTACTTAGATTAGGTGTGCATCAGGGTTTGACTATGAGCCCTGCCTAATCTTATTCATAGGCACAACTAGAGGGTGCCTAAGAGTATTTAGTATCGTATAGTAAAATTAGTTACCTCCTCTCCTTAAAAACCCAATCAGTATTTTTATAATAATGAATAAATATTTTATCCTTGAATTTCATAATTAATAAGCAGAACAAAAGAAAAAAATACAGGTTATGCATGTGTGTATGAATAATAATGTTAAAATAGTTATGATAGATTTATAGATATAAAATTGTAAATAAAATGTCTAGTTGCTTATTTTAAGAGTTGTGTAAAGGATGTGTGTGGAGGACATATTTTTCATGAGTCTTTGATGTTTCCACAATTTTTACACACTCAAAGTTTATGATCTAATTATGTCTATGGCCTTATCTGTTGTTTTCTACTGTTATGGAGAAATAACAAGGTGAGATACCATAATACATGATGTTTGTAGACAATGTAGTTTTGATTGAAGAAAATGTGAAAGGAGTTAACAATAGGCATGAAAAATAGAGACTAACACGTGAAGGAAAGGGACTAAGAGTAAGCAGAAGTAAAACTGAATAGGTATATACTATATAGAGTATGGTTAGAGTATGATTAAACCCCAGAGTAAACTTAAAGGTAAGTTCTACAAGATTGTGGTGAGCAGGTATAGTGTTGCACAGCATTGTATAGGTATAATAATATTCCATTTGAAATTGTTTTCAATGTTACTAAACTAATATATTAATGTGTGGAAAATATGTGCCAAGTTCTTTACAGATCAGATGTCTTTTGTGAGTCAGACAGTAAATTACAAAAATATTCTGATTTGTATTTATGATCACAATTTTGCTTTTGGACTTGTATAACTTACGATGTGTCAATTTTCAAATAGATTGATAGTCTTGTAGCAAATCAATAAAATTCTGTTTTTCATTTAGTACCTACCTATAGATAAATGTGCAATATGTACATAGATTAAAATTAGAATAAATCAAGAAATATTTGGCAGGCGCATTTTAAACTTGGAGAGTAAATGTACATGTTTTTTTTTACAGAAATATTCAATCTAATTCAATGCATTACTCGAACAGTCAGTCAACATATCCACAAAATGTTCCTTATCAACAACCACAGTCATATCCAACATCAAGATCCTTTCAACAGCAACAATTCGGTCCACGATTTCAAACACCGCCCCAAAATTGTACACCACCAAGTACTTTTTGTCAGCCCCCTCGACTACACCATGGTCACCCAAGACCCCCATATCAAAGTCCTATAAATCCTCAGCCATTGTATAAGCCTGATATTGCTAATTTTGATCAAATATCAAATTCATCATATCCTCCTCCCGTTCAGAATTTTCAAATCTCACCAAAACCACCATACCAACTGCCAGTCCAAAATTTTGAAACATTACCAAATCCTCAATATCCACCTCCACATGGTCTTCCTGGTCCTAGTTTTAGACCACCATCAATACCTCAATATAGAATACCCGGACCGCCTATACAAAACTACAATCAACCTTCTATTCAAAATTATAATCATCCTCCTCCTATTAACAATTATAATCATAATCTACCAATTCCCAATTATAATCAACCCCCTCCCATTCAAAATTATGATCAACCTGGTACACCTCCTTATCTGCCAGTTAATCAAAATTCACATCAGCCAATGACTTCTCCATCTTTATCTCATCCATTCCAGTCTCCTAGTCCAGGATATGGTCCTTCACCAAATACTCAATATCAACCTCAGAGTCCTAAATCATTAAATAGATCTTACCAATTACCTGCAGATCAATGTTATCAACAGCAATCACCCCAATTTAATTTACCTAGGCATGAATTCAGTCAAAGGCTTCCTTTTAAGCACCAGGGGCAGCAAAGATTTCCATTTAAATACCAAACACCTAGGTATCAGCAACCACTACATGATAATAATAGATATCAATTTCATCCAAAACAGCAATATCAAAATCATTATCCTAAAGGACTACTTCCTAATTTCAATAATCAAACTAAGGATAATAATTCCTCAAAAAAGGATAAACTACAAATAGCTTGTAATTTGGGTGATTGTGACTTTGTTGGACATCCTGGTGCAGTAAAAGAACATCAAAATATGCATCATCGACTAGGCCTTCATAAGAAAGTTTTATATAGTAATAATTCAGATGCCGTTAAAAAGTGGATAGAAGAAAGAAAAACGTAAGTAATAATTTAAAATATATTATTTTTTCTATTTTAGATTAAATAGTACCATTAAAGGAAAAAATGTTTAAAGGAAATGGCCAACAAAAGATAATATTAAAAAAAAATCAGAAATAGAGGATGAAAAAAATAAAAGAGGGGAACGTATTGCAGATGATGATTTTAAGAGGTTCAATAACAAAAATAATAAATTCAATCCTTCTGGTAATTTATATAATCTTTAATAAATTATTGTACTTTATTACAAATCATTGTAATTTGTTGTTTTAGGACCTAAACAATTTGATAACAGAAAACGAACAAGGCCTAATAATGCTGATTATATAGAACCTATTGAAGAATCAATGAACGGAAAATTAAAACGCTTTGCTGGAATAGTTGGTAATTTATTTTGTATATTTATCTTTACAAAAACACATTGTTATTCAAAACATTTCTAAGTATATTGAATAATTAAATATTATAAAAAAAAAAATTGTGTGCACTAATTATAATTATAGGTGAATATAAGTAGAGAAAACCCCACATTTTTTTGATTTTTAAGTCTAAGTCTATTGCCTTTAAATATTACATAGTATTTAAAAGTATTACTAGTTAACAATTTTCTTTTAGAAAGTGTATTTTATTTTTCAGACAACACAAAATATATTTTGGCCTGATGCCTCTGTATTTGAATTCCGTTTTGGAGAGATTATACTAAAATACATATTTTAAGATAAATTTTAGTTTTTAATCTTTTTAATTTGTGCATGTACAATAAAAATACTTTTTGAAAAATAAAAACAGTTATTTTTGACACTAGACTCTAGTAGTTATATATATTTTTTTTTTCTAGTAACTGATCAGTATAATTTTTTTTATTTCAAAAATTACCTGAGATAAAGGCATCTAAAGTTGGTTAAAAAAATATGATATTTATCGATTCATGATATTATATAACTATGTTATTAATAATATAACTGTTATTTTATTGTTATCTTTACAAATAATTTTGTTCTCCTAAAACGTTATCAAATTTGAAGTTTCTTCATTCATTTTAAATTTTTTGAAGAGTATATAAAAATTATATTTTTTAAACAACTTAAGATAACTGTATCTAAAGTAATTTTTGAGGTTAAAAAAAATTGTAATAATCAAAGTTGTTTGGAACTAATCAAATTATTCAAATCTAATATTTTAAATTGATATTTAAAGTCATTATTACTACACATTCGCACACTGAAATGGTTAAGATAAAAATGTTTATTTCAGTATCTCATAATTAAAGAATGGATTTAATTTTATTTAAAACACAAAAATTCCATATTAAAATTATATAATTGCACCAAAAAATACTTAAAAATTGCATAATAAATTGTACTATAAAAATGCAAAAGTTATATAAAAAAAATTAAATAAATGTTACTTTCTTAATTAAAATTTATAATTGGATACATTTCTAAATTATTTTCATTAAAATTAAATCTTGTATTACTTAAAATATGTTTGTAGAAAGAAAAACTATGTTCTACGTCTACACTAGTTATTGGTGCATATTCAAAACAATTAATAACGTTATATCTAAATTAACATTTGCTTTACCTGACATAACTTCATAGTAAGACTTTAAAGTTTTATACCCTTCGTTTTTTTTAATCACATACATACAATTTTCTTTAATTTTTTTCCCATTTGGACCAGGAATATTTAATAAAATATCTTCAATTTTTCTAAAAATATGTATGCTTTTCAGTAGTTCACTATTAGTCACAAATGTTTAAGATTCATGGATAACTCTTATAAGTGTAATTTCATGAATGCTAAACCACATTTGATTGCATTATTTTATGCAAGCTGTTTCAGCTTTTTGACACTTCATCTGTTAAACTTTCTATTACATTTTTAAACTCTACGCAATTATTAGCATAGTAAAGTGCAGCATTTTACCATATTCCCCATATTTTGTAATAATAGGTTTGGGTGGTAAAGGTACACCTGACATTTCTTTTCTGTATTTATTTATTCTCAATGGTGCTTTTAGAAAAGCTTTTTTTCCTGAAATAAACGAAATAAGTTACATATGTATTTAAATTTTAAATGGTTACTTAATATATTACCATTGTTAATCAATTTATTAATGTCTGGATACAATTCTCAAATTTTCTGTAGAACTCTATTAACTCTTTACTTGTAATAATAATGATATTATCACTTCTTAAAAACGGAATTCAAATCCAAGGATTATAAGGTTATCTAATTGAAATAGTGTTACCTGGAAATTTGAACTCATTGTATATTAAAAACTTATAAAATTCCTAATGTTTATAAAGTAAAAGTTTAATTAAATTGATTTTTGTTAGGAATGTTTGGAAAGAATATATTTATTTTATTTGGAATACTGTAATACTTATTATTTTCTTTTTTGTGATGTAGGTATTAAAAATAAAAAAGAAAATAAAATTGAAGAGATTATTAAACCAGAAGCTTTGAAACTATTAGAAGAGTATGCTGAATCTAGTGATGATGAACCACCTGAAGAAATTACTATAGTCAAAGAATCGGTTATATTTGATAATCAAAGCTTAATAAAACCTGAAGAAAAGATATCAACTATTTCAGAAATAGAAAATAACAAAATAATAGATTCTACTTCAATAGTGGAAAATGATAGTATAGCTGTAAATATAGAAGTGAATATTGAGAATAAGGAATGCAAAAAATCAGATTCTAAACTTGGCCAAAAGCGAAAAAATCCAAAAAATGAATCTAGACCAATTAAAAAAAAGACGCATATGAGAACACCGAGAAATGAAGTAATGGAAAGGAAAAGTGCTCTTTTAGAAGCTGTAAGTTGATTTACATTATTATTTCTATTGATAAATTTTATTAAAATGGTTAATTGTTAATTTTAGTTGATGGGAGATTTAATGCGCAGTGAACGTAACGCTATCACACAATGCATTTGTTATATAAGAAACAATATGCACCGTTTCAAGAATATTCAAGCTGCTTAATTTTTTGTGGACCTGTAAATTTTAAATAGCATATTATAATTTCTTATAAATAATTGTTAAAATAATAATGGTAAGTATATGATTATACATTTTAATTTTTACTATGTCTTATAACATATTAACATAGAATAAATACAAGTAAAAATATTTAATTTGTAAATTATTCTATTTTTTGGATAAGTAAAAAAAAAAACTATTTTTTCAATATTATTTTATTGGCAATATTAACTTTGTTATTTCTACTTCTTTCTAAGAATTGATATAAAAATCATAAAATATGGGAAATGTGATTAAATCACCAAGATGTCAGGTATACTCAATAACAAATTAAAATCTGTTTTAAGAATTCTTATCACTTCACTTTAATCAGTATGTTGGGAATAAATATAGACGAAACATTTAGTATGAAAATATGTCTCGATGGGTAGTGTTTTATTTTAAACACGGACATAAGTGAGATAATAAACAGAGTGTTTTAACTGTCTGTCTTCGGAGTGCAAATTTGTTCTCTCTCATATTAGGCTTTATACCAACGCATCTCTTATGATCCATTCAGATCAATCACGCCTCCCAGTTCTTATAGTGAATGTTTCATCTAGATGTATAAGTCTATGAGAATAAAATATCTTAATACCTACATTGAATGTGTTAGACAAATTTATCCACTATGAATCTTTGAGCTAAACAATTAAAGTGTACATAACCATTAAACATAAACCTATCTTAAGGTTATCAGATTATTATTCCTTAAATCTGGGACACATTTAAAAAACTATTACAAATTATGATATCATCATTTTTAAATTTCACTAATAAATTTTGAATTTAAAGAATGTTAATAAACGTAATAAAAATATAATAATTTTATTTAATAAAACATGATCTATAGCAGGAGTCACCAATTATTTTTGATGGGGGTCTGTTTTCAAACTTACCAAACTTTTCGCAGTTTTAAATAGTTTTAATGACTTTTCCACATGTTAATCTTTTTTTTTAAACTGTATATTTATATCAATTGATTTATTGATTCTTATTATTGCAAAAAAAAAAATTACCAAGGAAACAGTTAATTTGTAATGAGAAAAACACTTTTTTAGTTTTCATGAGCTCCTTAATGTGTTTAGTGTGAAAGTTGGTGCAACTGATTTGCATTTACTCGTTAAGATGATCATCTGTTAACTGAGATTTGAAATAATTTTTTTGTCGTTATATAAATTATATATGATACACTTACAGTTTTCATATCTATGTTATAAAAATTAAAAAACTACTCTGCGGAGATAAGTGTCCGTATCTGGACTGCAGTCTGTCAATTGGTGATCCCTGGTCTATAGGATATGTGGATAATACACCACCACGGGTGATACAAAATAACATTTTATCGAGTAAGTGTAGATATGAGACGAATAAATAATTTAGGTATATATAGTGTAGAAACGATCTCGTATTTTTATGACAATTTATATTTATCAAATTGTTTTATACATTTAATCAAAATTGGTACTTTAAATTTAAATTTGAGACATTTTAACATCTTGAAACTTCTTCGGGATACTGGGACACAAGTCATGAAATAAGTTATGTCTTGGCAAATCCGGGACATGGACACACTAACCTATCTAGTATGTTTAGATTAAAATACATTTTAAGGAACAGAACTTTTTTTATATTAAAATTAATTCTTTTTAATTCAAAATATTAATTTTATTTTGGGTATGTATTTAATATACTCGAACGCTACATTTATTGAAATTGTAAGTCATTGTTAATATAATTTTGTTGTTTTGTTAAGAAAAAAAAATTAAACATATTAAGTTATAGAAGTTAGAAAAAGACATTTAGTGTTAATAATTATTATAACATTGCATTTAGTTGTTAACATAATATTTACTAGATACTGTGTACAATTTAAATAATATACTACAAAATGTATGTTATATAATACATAATATAAACAAAATTAAGTACTTATTTTTTTAATTTGTGACAAAGCATTTTTAAATAGTACATACTACATTTGTTTTTAATATTATTCACATAGAACAAAATAATTAAATTTTTTTTTTCTGTATATCAAATATTAGAATTTAAATTTATATTTATATTATTATCAATTTTATACTAATGTCACAATAGCATGTGTTAGTTTTAATATTAAAGTTAATTTGCCTATTACCTAACCTAAAATAAGTAGTTTTGATGAAAATTTAGATAATAATGTTTATCGACAAATAAATAATACATATTCATGAATTTGACACTAAAACAATAATGAAACTTTATACTGGTTATATTATAATAAATAGTGGTCGGCAACCGGAAATCTACTCTGTATGAACGTATATTTATATTTACAGCTTATTTCAATTATTTACCAATTGATTTACATTTTATGTATAGACAAAGTTTCTATAGTTTCAAATGGAAATAACAAATTTATATTCACAAAATATTCTTAAATATAGTAAATCTATTCAGATTCAAATTCGATTAGTCAATCCAAAGTTACAATCACCAAACCTAGAACTTTTAGCAGCTGTTTACATTTTTGAAGCATTAAAAAATTAGTGAACTAAAAACTGATGAAGACAATTATTCAAAATGTAGAGTTAAAAGTAAAACCTAGAATTTGGTAATTGGTAATTTTAACTGGTTAAATAAATTAACTTCTAGTGAATTATTTAATAGTTTTCCAAATATTTACAAACTATTAACACTATTTACATAATCACCAGTTACAAATTAATTTTGTGAGATTACTAAATTAAGCTTGGTAAAAACTACTCAAAAATTATTGCACACAAATTCAATTACAATTAATGATTGTTAATATTTGTAAAATAAAGATTTCCAGTTGAATTAAATTCAAGACACAATGAAGAGATAGATATCCTATTTTTTTTAATTGGTTGTTTCAAGTATATCTAATATCCACGCACTTCATAATAAAATGAAAAAAACATTTTTTTTTTTAAAAATTTATATTTAGATGATTAACTGTAAATTATATTCCAGTTTATACCACATACACAAATTATTAAGTAGGTTAGAATTAAAATTTAGATTGTATAATCTGCGAAAAAGAGACATGTCTATGTACCAGATAGTTGTATTTCCACACTTTTATGTAACATTTTAAAATATTCATTCAAACAATTTCAAAATAAAACTACAATTTATATATTTTTTAATGTGCACCGAGTGTGTAAAAAGGTTGTCGACCACTGGACTAAAACATACTGTATATTGGAACATTTACAATTTTTTTTTCTCAATATATTGAAACTATTTGAAACTAATTAAAAATTCTTGACAGACTTTTTGATACTTAGATACCTTTATGACAGCATATTGATCAGTACTAAGTGTATATAATTTCACAAATAATAATATCTTATAACTAAGTTATCCTAGTACAACAAAATTTGAAAATTGTTAAATTTTCTCCATAGAAAAATACTTCATGGTATGTTTCACATTAAAATTGCTTTTATTGCTTCTTCTGTATGTTTTCTTAAATGATAACTAAGACTAGATCGTTGAGAAAAGGTTTTTGGACATATTTGGCAAATGAATGGTTTTTCTCCTGTATGTGTTCTCAAATGCCTTAAAAGATAATGTTTCATAGAAAATTGTTTTTGGCAAAGATCACAAACAAAGTGCTTTTCTCCAGTATGAGTCTTCATATGATTACTTAGTATATCTTTACGGCGAAATGATTCGTTACAAATTTCACAACTAAATGGCTTCTCACCAGTGTGAGTTCTAATATGAGCCAATAAGTGATGTTTTAGTGAAAATAATTTTTGACATATTTCACACTTGAAAGGTTTCTCACCTGTGTGTATTCTATAATGTGTATCAAAATGGTATTTACGTGTAAATGATTTGTCACAAACTTTACATTTATACTTACCCATCTTATGATTTATAATATGTGCATCAAAACGGTATTTATAAAAAAACGATTTCTCACAAATTGTACATGTATAAGGTTGATGTATAGTATGACTTCTTATATGAGAATCAAGAGTTTGTTTATTTGAAAATAATTGCTGACACATATGACATTTATATGGTTTCTCTTTAAATTGTACACTACAAAACAATGTTTCCATACATTTGACACCAGATGGAAATTCCTTAATTGTATTTAAAACTTGATCATCAGGTTGATTTTTTAATGAAGTTGTAAAACTATTGAACTCCTCATTATTCTCTAGGTTAGTTCCATTCTGTACATCAATAACATCAGTTTCAGCGTGTTTATCAATATCATACAGTTCTGTAACTAATTCTTTATTTTGATTAATATTTAATTTAGGCTTAATTGGTTGAGGTAGACATAAATGGCATAAGTATTGTTCCTCTCCTGTGTATGTTTTCATTGCGAACTGTTTTTTACAATTACCACATCTAAAAAGCTGTTCACTCATATGAGTTTTAACATGTTTAGTTAGTATGTCTTTACGAGTATATGATTCATTACACATATCACATGTGTAAGGTTTTTCACCTGTATGAGTTCGGTTATGGGACAAAAGATGATGTTTCAATGAAAATAATTTTCCACACGTATCACACTTGTATGGTTTTTCACCAGTATGCGTTCTATTATGGATACTAATATGATATTTACGTGTGAACGATTTATCACAAATTTTACATTCATATTTTTCCTTATCAACACTGTGACTTTCTAAATGAGCATCATAACGATACTTGTGATGAAATAATTTTTTACAAATATTACATGTATAAGACTGTTTTATAGAAAGTTTACTTTTTTGTTGAGTATTGAGACCTTGTTCATTCGAAAATAATTTTTCTTTTTTTTTACATTTATACTTAATTTTCTTATTGTTAATGTTTTTTTTTCCAATTTTTTTTGGGATAAATTTTTGTTCAATAATTGTTTCCTGAACTGATGCTTGATTTGGAGTACTATTTGATTTAATATTTTTTTCTTCAACAAGTATGTTATCATCAACAATAATATCAGATTCGAGTTTAATTTGTTGATTGCTGCAAGTGGCCATTTTTGGATATCACTGTACAGCCAAGCAAATTTCCTTTACAAGAAAGTTAACTGAAAAATAAATTGCAGATATTAGATATATATTAAGATAAATTAGCAAAATAATGATCATACAATTTTTTTCAGTATAATTCATACCACTAGATAAATTTAAAAAAAAAAACTGAAAGTGGATTCTTAATTTAATAGTAATACAAAATGTTTTAAGGAATATAAATATATATAATGCACATATACAGAAATTATAATTTATGATTAAACATACAGTTTTAGTTTTAGGATGATTATTATATTTACATTGTTTGTAATAGTTTTAAAATATAAAATTTACTGTCCTCTGAAAGATGCAAATTTTGTTTTAATTTGTGATTCATATAATTTATATTTGTAAATTTTAATTAAAATAAATGGTATTGTGTGGTTTCTGTTATATGAAATTACAACTATTATCAATTTATCATCGTAGACTACCACAGCGATATCCACACGCCTTGTTATAATGCTATAGTTGACAATTTATCATATTACTTATTGTAATATTGTGTTTTCTTTACATTACATTTACTCGTTAGATTATTAGGATATCAATAATCGTTAAAATAGATGAAAGTTTTTTTTTCTAAACACAATAATAATACAGACAGAATACTCCAGCAACAATGACTTTTTGGAGGATAATCCTGTGAAACTAAAAAATGTATTTTGGTCCAAGTTCCTGATTGAACTATGTGTACTCTTCTTAATGTAATATTGTTAAATATAAAATTATGTGATCTTGTGTAACAGGAAAGTATCTTATTTATATGTAATAATATTGAATCATTATAATACAAAATTCAATGAAAATATAAAATCAATTATAAGTATGTAATAATTGACAGTTTTAACTGGTACTATAATCATTATACTATATGCAAAAAAATGAATAATTTTTAAAACATACAAAACAAATATAAGAAAAAAGTAAGAATAAACATTGAATATATTTTTTTCAGATATTTTGAAACAAACTATAACCGGTTTTTGGAATCAAATAGAAATGCACCTAACATAATATCATTTTCCCTAGTTAAATTTTAATCATAATTAACTAATTTGTAATTTTAGAAAATGTGAATAATATAAAGTTGAAATTAAATAAATATAAAATTACAGTAACAGGTAGATTATCAAAATGCAATTTAATTTTTATCATTTCAATTAATAAAAAATATTTTCATCCATAGTTCTAGGTTTTAATTTGATAATTATCTATAAAAATAACAACCTATTAATACATAAATCTATTAAAAAAATTTAATTTAGTAAATATTAAATGATTATAGATAACTCAAGTAGTTAGTTTAATCATATTTTGCAAGAAAACTTGGTTACATCTACGATCTTCTTTGATTATTTAGATTTTAGATATAATTTAAAGTAAGATGGTGTAATTATATCTTACGAATCCAAAGAATCAAATTATATGAAATATTTAAAATAACTAACTACATAAACAAAAATGCATACAATTGTTTACTTACTTTAAGTGTTATGTTTTGGTTCCCTATACGAGTTTACTAATGGTTATTATTTCTAGAAATAAAAATAATCCATAATATAACATCAAGAATTTATACAAATAATAATTCACATTAAACACGAAACATTAATAGAAATGAGATCATGACAACATTATCATTATCACATAAGACGCGTTGCCCAAGTTAACACTTTACAGGCAAAATAGTTTCTGGTCGCCTATGATTATCTATGCTCGTAGCAGCCAAAACGGCCAAGCGACCGAGTAGGATGACAGCCATACACGTTATCAATTTTAAATTTGTTCTGTGGAGACGCCTCATCACTGTTTAGGCAACGCGTCTATAGTTTTCACTTAGAATCATCTAGACTATAATATCTTATGTTAATTTATGCTGAAAAAGAAAAAATGGGATGGACGAACACTTAATGATAAACGAATGCAGGATGGGCGTAGAGGACTATACCGTATTCTAATGTCCACAAAACCAACTGGTAACTGGTAATGCGGGGCGCGCGGGTATTTTGTTTCCTCAATGAGCCTAGCGCTGTTATAGTGGACTTTTTTTGAACTAGACACTACACACGATGAGCCCTAACCTAACCTACCACAAATCCGGTGGATTTTTTTACCAGTGTGGTGCTGTTTCATAAATTTATTCGATATTCCCATAGACATAATCTATAGATATTCCATACCTACATTGATAATAAGTGATTACTTATCCGAATATGGTTATGCCATATGGAATATATAAATATATAATAATATACTCTATATAAGTTTTGCTTACGGTTATAGATAAAATTACGTGCATAACCAGCCTCTCCCTATCATAGATTTATAGAATACTCGATTTTATTATTGTATTAGTAGGTACGTAATTATTATTTATTAGTATGAATTTGTATGAACATTTTCGAAATTTGTACATAACTACTTCATCGAGAAAATCAGGTTTTTAAATTATTAATTGGTGTATAGTACAGTGGTGTCATTTTGCAGAGGGGGAGGATAAGAATGTAAGATGGGCATTAGTCACTGTCTGATTTCAAAAGCAGCCCGATAGGCAGGTGCCTGGTACAGGCCTGTAAAAGATTAGATAGTCATTACATTAGTGATGATATTTGGCCTTTTGGGCCGGTTCTTAGAATGTCTTGTACAAATATCGGTTAGCGCTAATCAACATTATACGGGAATTTGTAAGAACCGGCCTCATAATTAAATTAATATTAATTTTGTAAATGTAAAAAAAGTGCTTGTGTTCATATTCATAGTGTGTTGATGTACACTCTGCACATGTTAGGTAGGTTGTAAGAGTGCCTGTATTATAGTTGTGTTTTGAATTTCGAGACAATTTTTTTATTGTTTGTCTTATTTCAAGCAAACAGGCTGACGCTCGATTATTATTAATACAATAATGCCAATAAACCGTATGCGCGGGGGGTGCTGGGTGTGTCTAGGTACTTCCTGACATTTTTAAATTGGGGCCATACAATTTAAGTCCCAGACTATAGGGCCCATATCTTGGCTAGGCTGTATCTCAGGCAATTTTTGGAATAGAAAAAAAAATGTACTAGTCATAAATTTGTTTGAAACAAATAGGAATATTCGAATAGGGGACTAAAAATAAGTGATACCATTAAAAATAATGATAAGTTGTGTATTACTTATGTACGCACTGAAAGATTTAAAAATTTGAAATTTATCCTAAAATGTACTTTCTATCACATCTGGAAAACCAAATTTAAATCCAAGGTCAGCGGGCTAAGATATTTAGCGTTAAGTACCTTTATCTTTGAATATCTTAGGCGGTACTAGACTATTTTGGTAGGGGAAGCAGACAATATTTTAACTAAATTATTAACACTATTTCGTTCAAATATTTAGGCCAGTTGCACTATTAAAAACAATTTTTTAACTGAAATTTGTATATTTTCATAATTCAAGAATTTAAATTATCAAAAATAATTACAGGAATTTTAAAAGTTTATAATTTCGTTATTTATAGTATCGTACACATTATTTAAGTTTATATTAAGGTATTTTACATGATTTCAAATCTCGATGTAACGGTCAGTTGGCCTTAATGTTTTAAAGCAATGTTTTTTAACCTAGGATCCGTGGACCACTGGTAGTCCAAAGGTAGTCCAAAAAAGGATATTTACAACTATACTAATATGTACAACAAGTAAAAGTGAGAACAAAGAAAATTTAAACACGCGAAAAAGATATTATGTAGGAGGACACCCAGTGGAGTTACCTACTTTGAATATTTGTAATTTTATTTAATTACATTTGTTTTTTAATTTTTTTTTTTTTATATATATATAATAGTTTTAAAGGTGGTCTCTAAACCATTTTCTTTTCAAACTCCTTGGAGGGTTATCAGGGATATGATTTGAAGAGAAGTGGATAATATTAGAGTTGGCATGAGAGCTGAATTAGCTATGGAGTTTTTAGTAAGCCAATGTAGCAATCTGGTTAACATATTTAATTTGAAGGTCTATATGAAATGTCTTGTTGGTAATATACCAGAGAAATCTAGTAAGTATACAATGTATACTTACATTGTATACGTATTGTATACTATACATAGACAAATGGATTGAAACGATTGGATTTTTTTAATGCTATAAGGAGCAGCACAGCCCCAGATTCGGATACCATAAAGGGAAGAGTAAAGTTTTGTATAAAATAATTTTGGATTTGATATTAAGTTTTGAACGTAGGAGAGGACAAAGTAAATGAAGTCTAGAATTTAATTGTATACATTTATCGGTAATGTGGTGTTTCCAAGTAAGGCGTTTGTAAAAAATGAGACCAAAGTAATTAACTTGATCAGTTTGAAGTAATGTTTAGAGTTTAATATTTAATGTCTAAATACACCATAAGCTATACTGGGCAAATGTACAAGCCAAATGCTGAAATACTAACACGTTTACATGTATCTTATCACAATTTATACTTCATATAATCTAAAAATGATAGGTAGATTTTAATATCTGTCAAAGATTGCATTTAATATTCATACGATGCAGTTCTAACTAGCTGCAAACATCAATTATGGAGTCGTGTAGCTAAGAATTTGCTCTACAACATTAATTTGAAAGGTGAAAAAGAAGTATAAAGTATTAAGTTCAGAAAATTAATGATAGAATAAAACAAACGCTTCATTACAATCATTATAACTTGAGTAAAAAAATATTTAGAGTATCCAATTGCATATTTGGATTGGGTGTTTTGGAAATTAAAAAATCATTTCAGTTTTTTAATTTTTCAATATTAAAATTAACAATTATAAGCGCCTAATTTTGATTTCTGGACGATTGATAAGTATGTTTACGAGTTTACGATGATACTAACTGGATACTAATTATTTAATTTACTTTTGTGAAATTAGGGGACCTCAGTCTGGGGACAGTTTCGATAAAAAATGAGTGTCATGGTATTGTGTCGTTTGAATTGCCTATACCCCGGATATTAAAGGAGTAATGTTGTTTAAACCGAAAGCTCCAAATGGCAAATAGCCGTTATTATAACACTAAATAGCAGTGAAGTATCTCATAAAGTTACATCAAATCCAAATAATTCTACAAAGAAATAGATGATTATACAGATAAATTGTATTTCCTCAGTCCTATATTTATTACGGTAATCTTGTTGCAATTAAGTAGCAATGATATTTTCAATATCCTGGTTAGCTCGTACGGCTCTGTTAGTGACGAGGTTTATTAAGAACTTATTAACTAGTTCTGAATATATTGCACATATTTCAGTTACAATCTGATTTGAAATTCTCAACCATTATCAAATTGTAAAATTGCTGATGTTCCGAAAGTTGTGAAAATATCTAGTAATACGTATGCTATTTCTTCGGTATGTTTTTGTTTTAACAAATGAAGTACCTAGTACATATTTTGTAAAATGGTCCTGGTAAACCAATATAAACTTATATTCATTGTACTTGTATATCTATAAAGTTTATCTGACGGCGAGAATTAATTTTAGAAGATAAAATTGGTTTTGCAACCAACCCTTTCTTGGTTATGCTCTTTTTTTTTGACACGATTCACAATTATTTTAGTATAGTATAATCATACCCTTTCCAACTTAAGAGCATACACAGTAGCGGACGAAAATTCGTCTGTTTTTGCGCATGTGTTCCTTTCCCGATTATCGGTACCATTTTATCCACTCACCCACCTGTCAATCTCGCTACTACCGATACACATGATGTACAATATACGTAGAGAACAAAATATCGATAACATTTTTTTTTAACGGTCCTACCGCGTACACATATATTCTCGTATAAATGCTCTGTTTTAATTTGAATAAACGCTACAATTATCTTTTAAGTAATGTAATTTTTCTATGTTGCCCGTTAATTTGACTGAAATAGTATAGGAATGCGTGTATATTATGATTTATTTGGCGATAGGTATTATATATATTATATATATTATAACTCACCGTATACACAACGACGGTGCCACGATGACATCGCGCGGCGTACAGAATTGTACGGTGACGGCATACGATGGTTAACGATTGTTTCCGATCTATTAAGTAGGCAATGTTCAGCAGTCAGTCACGTATGCACGAACGGGTGTGCTCTTAAGTTGGACAGGGAATAGTGATATTTTTGTACTTTGCTTTTACCTTGTGTTTCACTCTATTTCAACCACCATACCCAATCAATAAATAAACATCATATATAATATCAAATAACTCTTCATTATGTGCATAGTATTTAATTATCGGGTGCCGACCGCGGGCTCAATAAGGCGCGTTGTTTTAGGCTTGGTGACGCTGCTCGGCGTTTTCAACACCTGTTCCTAGGCCATCGTCTTCCCTCGGTGGTGGAAACGAGCCAGGATCGTCCTATTGCTTAAGAGCCGATCACGATCATAGAGCCGGTTAATTTCAGGCACATGTGCATGTTGGACATGAGTGGTATAAACTCCTGAAGAGGCTGGCTGGTATTAAACCGGCTAAGGCGGTATCACGCCCTAGGGGGACTGACAGCTTATTCGGGAACTAGCAAACCTTACGGTCGTCACACATACCGCGGAGCTGTTGACGAAGTAAACCGTGAACCGGTGGATCCACAGCACGGTCCTAACTGAACACGAGCTTAGTCTTAATCAACGCAAGTATGAGGCCGTCATGCATATCCGAAAGTGGGCATATAGACTACCAGTGTTCCGTTCTGGCAGTTTCATGGTGCTAGTGAAGTGATCCCTCCGCTACCGGCAATACTTTGGCTTTATATGTGTAATCGAACTCTGCTTATTTTTCGTTAGCATTACGATTAATCATTGCGTACAGATATACATTACATTTCTCCTCAACTTTTCCAACTTCTAAACTACAAAATTGGGCCACCCATCACGCAAAGCATGTCAGTTTGTTTTTTATAATAATTTTAAGATTAAATTTTAATGTAAATCGTAAATATTACGGTATTTCAAATCATGCATAATCAATAATCATGGCTCAAAATTGAATTTCGTTAGCAATGATTTCACGTTGCTTAAAAAATATTAAATATATAACAAATACAATTTTTTATACATTAATACATTAAGTACATTATCCTACATTCCCAAATTTTCATCTACAACAATGGTTTACCCATTAGAAATATCAGCTCTTTTTTTTCCAAGCAATTTACATATTAATTGGAAAAATCGGAAAAGACATAAAATGAAAATTGACTAATTATTACGACATAACGATTTCTTTACTTTAAAAATCTTTAAATTTTATATTATTTACCAGAAATATTGTAACAATCGAAAAGTGACAAAAAACGTCTATTGTTGAAATTTAGATCTAATAGATTAATAGGAAAGGCATGTGTAGTTTCGATTGGGAATACTGGGGAAAAATATAGAAATAATGGGGAAGTTTAAGGAAATAATGGGTTATTATTTTCAATTCTGTTTTTAGATTTTGAGTGTACTGAAGAATGTATTGGTTTTACAAAGATGTTTATTTTTTTTTTTATGTGAACACTTTTTCTACCAGAAAGCTTACTCCAATGAATACTATTTAGAGTATTTAGACCTTTTTCTAAAACATGAGTAAACCGATAAAATCGTTGGGAAAAGGCGGAAATAAGTACAATACTAAACAAATATTATTAAAGAAAATATATAATACATATGTACTTATTATTTACCATAATATAACATAAATACTGTTGAAAAAGCAACACTATTAACTGAATTCTATTCAGAATCATTTTTCGTTAGCAATGGTTAATCGAAATGAAAAATCAAATACATGTTGAAATACAGATGTTCGTTTAGCATGTCTGATATCCCTAATACAGTTATCCGTTATTCAGATTTTTAAACCATATATTTACCTTTTTGATCAAAATGGCTTGCTATAATCAAGAACTTCAATTTAGCATTTTTGTAGCATTTTTAATCTCATACAACCTTTAAAGAAGTTATTTGTGGATGTTCTTTGTCGTTTTCCTAAAAACGGAAAGAAATTAAAAATCAAACATCTGTTGAATTACAGACATCCGTTTAACATGTCTCACATTCCTGATATCCTAGTACCATTGAAGGTTTTTTTTTATAATAAGCTTAAGACTAAATTTTGACGTAAAATTATAAATATACTTGTCTTTCAAATCATAACGAACGTTCCTCAAAATCGTTTTTCGTTAGCAATGATTTATACCTACTTAAAGATAAAAAATTAAATAACTTCATGTATTCTACCTTCCGAATATGATACCTAAAATAATTTCACATATATCAGCAGTCTGTCCAGGTGTAGCGCCCAAACAGACGAAATATGCCGTCAATATTAGAAACAACATCATATTCGAGGCTAAAATATATATGTTATATATAAAAACAAATTCAAAAAATCGCTTGAGTAGTTTTTGAATTGCTTTTTAAACTATAACAGTCTTATGCATTTTTCAGTATTATCTGGTATAATATCAATTTCCTCAAACTTCATTATGTTGAACCAGAAGTTCGAGTTGTACTTTTAAAACCACTTGAGAAAATTGTTATTAGAAGAGTTCTAATAACTAGGTACCTAATTATATCAAATCACCTGAATTCTTCCTAATCGTCATTTCTACAATAATGAAAGAAATTGTGAAAGCAGTTTAAATACAATTTATAATTATTTTTTTTTTATTAATTTTAGGTATTTTATCTATGAGTAACAAGAAATTGTAATTCTTAGAACTTATGGTTTCTAAAATTTATTCTGTTTTAGACATCCTCTTGAAAAACATCGAGTATACTTCACAATAAAAAAAAAAAACTCAAAATATAATAAAAAGTAATAGATAATATATAATTCTCAAAACACGTAATTGTAAATTCTGAGACATACCCAAGATTTGTTTCGTATAATAATTACAAATCATTAATTTTAATCAAAAAATAGGAAAATTTAAAGTAAATACATTTTTATTTTTACATCATAATCATTTAGTTTAAAAAATTCCTAACGAACGTCGTAAAAATATACGACGTTTTAAAAAATATACCGAACTTCATTCAGAACCGTATTTCGTTAACAATGGTTTATCATGATAATATAATTATCATGGGTTACGAGGTAACGAGTGTGGGATTTTTTAACATTTATAACAATTGATAAAAAATAAACTGTAATGTAAACATATATGTATAACGATATAAATTTACATATATGAATGTACATACAAATAAATGCATGTATCTTAACTTGATTTGAAATAAGTTACTCCCTGGATGGGAATAAATTATAGTTATGTATTTAATAGAAATATAAGACCTACATTTTATACACATAGTCTAATGTATCAAACCTAAGGGCCAAGGTTAAGCTTAATATCAAATACCTACTATAAAGAAGATTATTGTTGCCATAAAATAAACTTTACTGATTTTAATTTGTATACTTAATTATGTATAAGATTACCGTATACAAGGACAATACAATAATAATAATTATTATTGTATGATTAATAATAGAAAAAAGAACACACATCATATTATACATATTTTTTGGAAGACTCTTTAGTAAGAGCAACACAATATATAAATATCATAAATAAGATTTAAGAATAAAATTCAACATGACATAAATATTAATAAGTTGGTAAACAAAATTAATTATACATTACAAAAATTAAGTAAACAATGACAATGAAATTAAGAACTAACAAGTAACAGGATCTATACATAGAGACTATTATAGTTCAATGATGAATTATATGGAACTATCAATCAATGTCCTGGATTTGTACCCATTCAACTACATCCTTATTAGCTGAGTTCTAAGTAAATATATTGGATATGCCTTTAAATGCACGGTATTCGGTTCCTAAATGATAGATTTTTGTAATTCCTATCCACAGTCACAGGAAGTATTTTAGTATGTAGTTTCCATGTATGCATCATGTGTTTGCGCCTTTCATGTATGTAGAAGACTTAATGTCAGCCAAATTTTTCTTGGCAAATCACACCATAGAAAAAGGTGATACTGCTGATAGGTGTGCACCACTCTTATGGGAGGGAAGTTGAGAAGGTATAGAAATAGAATACATGAAGTTATTTAATTTTTATCTGTAACCAAGATAAACTATTGCTAATGAAAAACGATTCGGAAGAGAAGTTCAGTTATATATGTTTTAACAGGTTGTTTACTGGTAATATTTACGATTTTCGTCAAGATTTGATTTATGATCCATTATAGAGTACCTATCGAATAAAAATTACATAAAAAAACTCGCAAAATTAAATGTCTATAAACAGCTCAAAAATGCCTCAAATGTTTTGAAAATTAGATCGCATCTAGAAAGAGCAAATATAAGCTTCCTATCACAGTTTCAAATCTCTACAAATATGATTATCTTAATTTCAATAAAAAAACAAAATCGAAAATAATAAAAAAATTTCGTAAATACTCCCGTTCTTTCTATGTTTTTTTCGATTTTGCATAATTATTACAAGAACTACCAAGTAAATCAAAAAACGAATTGCTTACTCACGAATTGAATTAAAAATTAAATAAAAAGTTTATTGTTGTTTTTCTATCGGAGCAATATTTACGGTAGAAAACATTTAAAACGAAAATTAAAAAAAACGTAATTGGTAACGCTATGGTGTGCCATAAATATTTGCCATTTTACTGATAATTTTCTTTCCGGTTTTTTCCAATTATTTTGAATACTTATTAGAATATCTAAAAACGTCCTCTTAAATATATACTTATTACAAAAAATTACCTTTCAGAAAAAGTGCTCACTCTATAGATCGGAGCAAGATTTATGGTAGAAAAGTTATTCTCAGATACAAAAAGAATAATAATAATAATAATAAAAGAGCTGATGCTGGAATGTGTGTGGACAATGTTGTAGGTGAATAGTTGGGAAGGTAGGAAACATAAAGTTATTTATTATACCTGTAACCAACGATAAACCATTGCTAACGAAAAACGATTCGGATCGAAGTTTGGTTATACATGTTTTAAAAGGTAAAAATTACGTAACTTACTCAAAATACGACAACATACCTACAATAATAGCTTA